TGGCCAAACTAATACTGCATAGTTTGCTTATTCCATCAGGTCAACGCCCAGGTCATTTTGTAGGAAATGATCTCTGGCTTGAACACCAAAACTTTTGGCTCAAACACCATTTCAATCAAACGGTTAGTCTTTTTTTTTCGGGGTTTTGATTAACACATCGATTAATCATGTGATTATGTAGAGTAACGGAACGGATATTGAAAAGCTGATCGCTATTTCAATTAACATTACATTTGTGTGTGCAAGAGATTTTTAATAAACATCTTGATTCAAATTGATTAATGAAACATTGAAACTTGTTCCTAGCTACGACAACTGATTCAACAATTAAAAATCCGGAGCGGACTGAAACCTGTGTTTCAAAACCACTACCATAACCTTTCAGAACAAACCCTCGCTAACTTTATCCGCTCTTGGAATTATCAATATGTCACTTCCAAAAACTCGACTGTCAAAAGTCAATTTACCGATACGGTCTTGACCGGAACAAATGTATTACAAGACAACTTTTTGAAAGACCGGAAAAAGAATGAAGTATCTCGGTATCGATGGGGTTGTTTGGGTGACACGGTGGTTGATGCCGAAGGCAATCGTGAAGACATCCACCCCGAAAGTCAGGTTGAGCTAAACTGCGGTGTTCCTTCGTTTGGCTGATTTGCCCTTCTTACCGACATATGGGGGTGGTTTTCTCTCGGTCAACTTAGGACCAGTGATTCCTGAAGTCGTAGGGTCTACCTGCAATAAAGTAGTTAATTTCATGACAGGGTTAGATTGCATGAACCAAAGTGTTACAAAAGACATATATGATAATTAGAAGATAAAGTAATGAAACCATACCACTTTGTCCTTTTCGCTCGCATCTTTTGCCTTAGTGAAATTGGAGGCACTTTTTTGCTTCGCTTTGGTCTTTGCTTCGTTGTACATGATCATCTCTTCTTCCGAAGGGTGCAAAACTGCAATCGAATCCGTGCTTGCCTTCCATTTGCGAATGTCTTGATGTATTGATGTGTATGTATTTGGAAGAGGTTCACTACCAAACACATCATCCAAATGCAGTCTGTCTAAAACAAGGTCGTAGTTGATGCACAGGCTCCAAATTTTGTTGGGTGAGAACAGGTCATCGAGAGTGTAGAATGAACCCTTAGGATATTCTAAATTAAAAATTGACATCAGATTTGCTTGAATTCGCAGGAATAATCGAATCCAGCGTATATCTTGACGTAGAGGATGGTCATCGCCTATGGGTCTCAATGTGGTTTGAATCCCACTGTCCTGACAAACGAGATCTTCTGAGTCAACTTTGAAGTCGGGTTGTCCAGGTGGCACGTCCTGCTGGAGGACCAACTCGGTGAAATTCGATTGAGTCAAGATTTTCTGTTGAGCCAGGAAAAAATTTACAGCATTTGAATCACAGTTCGAGCAGCGGCACGGTGCCATATTGGCCTCGGCCTGCCGTCGAGTTTCACTCGTCACGGCTTGGTCATTTTTCGATACCGGTATGTAGTTATACCTACAACTCATCAAGTTATTTGACGAAAGGAGTCAGCATCAGCACGGACCTGATAAACCGAATGTGAAAAGCATATCACTCACCGTAGTAGGACCTCAAAAGCCACCCGTAAGCATACCTCAGTGGTAGACATAGCAAGCATATGATGATCGTGGTCTTGCAGACTCTGATGTGGCAAAACCGAAAGCGAATCCTTGTCAGTCTGCGACAATTGATTGAGTATCAAAAAAGCCACAGCTGGTCGCCCGTCTCGACCGCCTCGACCGGTCATTTGCAGCACCTCGAGCGGATCCAGCTGGCCCATAATAATCACCCTTCTCACACGTGTCCAGTTTTGGCCAAGGCCAAGAGCGTTAGTACAGGTCATTACTGAGAAAACCCCCTTTCCAAAATCCTGCGCTCGGCGAATCTTATCAATGGGACAGGTTGAGGCGTGATAACGGCAAACTGAGGTACTCAAGCCATTGCTCGAATCGATTTGGTTTTGGCGGGCTGAATTAATTGCCTTAAGGGCTAAGTAGGTGTCGTTTTGTGTATGACAGTACACAAGAGTGGGTACAAGCTCGGAATCAGTCACGTTGGTTTTAGGTGCAAAGAATTTCTTGAGCAAGTCCATTGAAGAACATCCGTGTCTGAGGGTGACCCGGATGAAACGGATCTCTGGTTGTACTAGTTCGCTTCGATGAATGTCAATGCTATCTCTGGTGATTTTGAGACTTGCAACAATTTGGTCGAAGTTGCGAGGAGGACAAGTTGCTGACATAAGTAGAGTTGGTACTGCTTCTGTGGCTAGAAACCGCTCCACTAGGTTCCCGTATGAAGGCTAAAAAGCGGTGCGATCTTGCGGGATCTGAAAACATCGGTAATTTTTGATTCTGCCCGACAAGGCAAGGCCCCAACAGTAGATGAGGTGAGCCTCATCTACGACCTTGAGCACCAAACGGTTACGGAATCCCTTGGAAAAATAGAGACGTTCGAATTGAGAGTTATTCAAGAAAATTTCTGGCGACTATGTTAAGCACATGTCCGGTCAGCTCAGGAATGATTCAAAAACAATCGAGATCAATTTCAGGGCTTACCACATAAATAAATTGGTATTTTCCTGCAAGAATCTCTTTATACACAGCTTTCGTGAAAGACGCCCGTGTCAGGTTGATAGCACTCAGACCATTTCTAGCCTTTTCTTCAACCTGTCCAAATGCCCGATAAATAGTGAGTGAAAATGATTATAGAACATCAAACAGAGACACATTTGAGAAACTTACTTGATTATCTCCAAGCGCGTCTAAAGGATTCAAAGTCAAGATGATAGGCGCACATGCTTTGGTGAACATTAGATAGAATAATTCCGGTATTCGAGACTTGCCATACCCGGTACTCGCGATGAGAAAAACATCCTTTTTTCGAACGAGACTCATAGTCGAGTCAACTTGCAAGGCTCGAGCAATCATTTTGAATATGTTGTAAAATAAGTCTCGTATCACTTTTCGTTGTTCTTCATCGTCATCCTTGAGCAATGACTTTGAGATTGTTGGCCGGAACTCTTGAGGGTCAGTTTTGGTGGCTGCTGGTGCTGCGGCTGGGGTTCTTGGGGTTCTGCAAACATCAGGCAAAGGCGGAATAATAGCACTCCGAGAGCGAGTAAGCATGACGTAGTTAGTTGGAGTGCAAGTGAATGTGCATCGATGATCACGGTGGCATCTTATAAGTTATGTACAGCAGACGCGTCACCCCCCTAACCCTTACTGCTAAGGATTACTGCCATTAGGTCATAATACTTTTATGTCTTATGACAGTTTCCACCCAGGATAAGGATTTGTCCGGATTCGCCCCAAACTTAACAAAGTCCCTCGCCAAAGGCCCGAGCCCCAGCGAGGGACTTACCCCATAAACTGGAATCCTGGCGTGAGAAGTAGCCTGTATTGGCTCAAAAAACGCTACTTTGAATTCTTTGATTTGTTCCTAAATAAACAGGTCTTGGAGGTAAATAAAAGGATGATGGCAAATATTCATTACATATGAGCCAATTGCAAGCTTCCCCAAATCTGGTCTGGAACTTGGGCTACTGGGGAATCAAAAATGGGTCTGTTTTCAATTTTCAGCAGCGGCGAGCCGGCTCAAAGCCTGTATTTCTCAGAAAGCGGTCAAAATAATTGATCTTCAACTACTCAAAAAGATAACTTCCCAAAAAGATAGAAAGGAGTTTGCAATTGGTACATATGTAATGGTCCCTTGCCTTTTTCTTCTTTCTTTGTTGCAAGACATGTTTGTTGAGAGAGAAAAAAAACAAACAGATGTAGAGAATTTGGAGCAAATACAGCTCACTTCTCACGCCAGGATTCCAGTTTATGGGGTAAGTCCCTCGCTGGGGCTCGGGCCTTTGGCGAGGGACTTTGTTAAGTTTGGATTCGCCCGAGGTCAAATCGGTCAAATCAGATTGATGGCCTGTACACCCGTTCTTAGGCTGTTACAGGAAGACATAGGGACCATATTTAGTCATGCCTCCCAAATATGCAAAACAAGTGTGTTTCTGATGAAAGTAGTACCAACTTATGTAGACAAATGTAGAGAACAAGACACGAGAAACATGGAAATTTTTGTGGAGAGGTTTTGAGGTGAAGTTGAAGAAAGTACATAACGGTACTTAATTCTTGGAAGTCCTCCGCCAAAAATCGCGAGTCCGCGATAAGCCCCTCTTCGAGGTCGCGGACGTGGCCGCGGAAGAGGGGCTTAGTTAAGCTTAGTCGCTGCGCGAATCTACGGCATTTGGTCCCAGCCGCCATCAAGACGACTGTAATCGAAGTTTACGTCTCAGAATTACACAGTGAAGCCACTCTACATACCTAGATTATCGAGCGCGCCACTCATCGGATACTGACGTTTTATTGGTCTTATCAAAATTTCTTCAAAAAATAGCATCCGGTGACTTTGAATTACCTTGTTGAGCCATTTCACTTAGGTCCATGTGCGCGCCCCTCATTTGAAACTGATTTCTGATGGGCGTGATTTCAATCTCTTGGTGATATAACAGCATCCGGGCACTTTTCCGATCCGTATTTGGGATCTACATCATCCCGACAAGTGGTCATTAACTTACCAAAGTTCTGCAGATTTGGTGAGCCACATTTCAAGTCAATAGACACGTTTCGTCTTGCTGATCTACGACGCTGATTTTTATATATGTAAACCTTCCAGGAGCCAATTTCAATACCTCGAGCACCAGTCAGGTCCAATTCGAGGTTTGGTTACCTTTGGAAGATTGGAGTGGTAGATTCGCATTTGTAGGTAATGGCGGAGGTTAGTGATTTGATCATTTGATATTACTGGCTCGAGACCCAAACCTGAACATCGAATCATATGATTCGTTGCAAAACTAGATTCTGGAAAAGTCAACTATCCTGAGTGAGCCCTTTTTCTTAGACGAAAATCGTGTACGAAAAAATTAATCACCTGTGATGTTTTACTCTTGAATGACTGCTTCAATGATAGCATGGTAAGTCGTAACTCAAGTGAAACTGCCCCAGGCTCGTGAATCTCCTACCCTCTTACCTGATTCCTCCCATTGACGTCACGATGTAGGGAGTCCCCCTCTCAAAATACAAGTTCGCTGTCGCATCGACCAACACTGGTCACAATGGCACAGGGTTTGACGGTACCTTTGCTATCTCAAATGGAGAAACACAAATCGACTTTGGATACCGCGCAGTTCACCTTAGTACCGTGTTCTCCAAGGTGGTCGTCAAGAGCTTCTATACCGAAGCATCCAAAACGAATTATTGGCTCGGTTCGTCCTTACACAGTCTGCTTCATTCTACGCTGATATCCTCAGCGCTCTTGAGCTAAGAAATGTCTTGTATATAGGCTGTTCTTCAGGAGGCAAACAAGGTCTGAAAGAAGTACAAGCGTTTCCCGAAGACTTTGATGGTGTACTGGCAGGTGCAGCAGCGCAGTGGTGGACTCATCTGTAAATTTTGTTTCTCCACTTCGCCTTAAAGTTATTTAATAGTGTCATCTGAATCTGGTGTCAATCTGTTCAGAAATGGCTGGATGATCGAATCTCATTTGCGCAATTTACCAACAAAGGAAGGGTTCATGAGTGCGAGCGATTGGGCGCTCGTCCATGAGCACACCATGGATGAGTGTGATTTGTTAGACGGCGTACAGGATGGAATCATTGATAATCCTCTGGTCTGCCAGCCAACATTCGACTCGCTACGATGTTCCCCAGACCAATCGCAAAACGCTAGTAGCAGTGATGCTACAACACTCTGCTTAACCTCACCACAGATATCGGTAGCGCGATCTGCATTTGAAGATTGGGTCGATGAGAACGGATCCCTCCTATTTCCTGCTTACGCTCATGGTGCCGAATCATTCGCAAGCATCGGAATGTTCATGCCTGCAGCACCATTCCCACCATCCACAGATTTCTACAAATACCAAGTATTGGTGAGTCAGGCTTAATTAAGAGTCCCGGGTTTTTTTGATGAAATAGTATTTCGCCGGTTTTTAAAATTTTCTGGGCTTCGTGATCAAGAATTTCACTCGGATCAATACGGAGTATAAATTCACTTCGAAATCCCTCCTTGAGATGCTCGCTGTTGCAGATCATACAAACCCGGGTCAGGCCAATGCAATCGATGGTAACATTTTACCTTTCATCCAACGCGGAGGAAAATTGATGACTTATACTGGAATGGCCGGTCAGTATTGTACAGACGAATCTAGACACTCTTCTGAACCTCTCACGGCTGATCACAGGTTTTCCCCTCCTTGCAGATCCTCTCATTCCCAGCCGCTCTGTAAGTCACTCTGGCAGACAATCATTTTACATCTGCGAAATGTGAAACCTCGAGAATGAGATTTCCTCCTTATGTTGACATTTTTGCTTTTGGGTGACTGGCCATTTCCGAAACCCACAAGTCTATATGGTACCACGATCAAGTTAAGAAGACATTGGGAAGAGATCCCAGAGAGTCCTACAGATTATTTCCAGTTCCTGGTACGTCTTCTCATCCTTCATTTTGCGAACACTATATCAATTTGCTTTGTTTGATTAGGAATGGGTCACTGTGGGGGTGGACCGGGTCCTACAAACATAGGTGCAGCTGGACAAAGCGAGCTACCTCTCAATGAAACGTTCCAGTCATCTTCATTTGATCGCAAGCACGACATGGTATTGGCGTTAATCGAGTGGACGGAAAATGGGAAAGCTCCGGATCACATGATCGCAACTAAGTTTGTCGATGGTCAAAAGGATAAAGGGATTCAATTTCAACGGAAATTGTGTCCATGGCCATTGGTGAGTTTTCATCCTTTAATTCACTCTCCAGAACCGTGGCTCATCTATCTCGGCACATATATCTTTTCATAGGTTGCAAGGTATGACGGGAGCGGCGATTCAAACTCTCATCATAGCTACCAGTGTCGAGATCAGTAAAAGAATGTATGTATGCTGCCCAAAATATTGAAAGCAGACAACTTCTTTTGCATTCATGTGGTCAGAAAACACTTACAGTGACAATTCAGATAGTCTACATCGTGGAATAATTCAGAGAGTAAGAAAGAAAACACCCATCTCATCGATATCTCTTGGTATAATGCGGTCTGTGACTAGTTTCATGAACAAAAACTGTAACATCTTCCTCCAATATATCTATCTACTCTACTTGATATTATTCTTGGTTCCTATTGTTGAATTCTTATCGCTTTCTGTTACACTTTTATCATTATCAAAATCAGCTTTGTTAAAGTTCTTTTGAATTTCTACTTTCATGATGTTAAGATTACTTTCTATCTTAGTAATTTGATCAAATTCCAATTGATCTTCATCATCTTTCATAACTCTCCACTATGATAAATTGAACAAATCAAGACACCCATACAGATCAGATCATTAACTTTGGTGATTCAATGTAACCAAAATGAGAATGATCACTTACAACTTGAAAGAGCATAGCTGGTGCAACAAGAGCCCCACCTCCTAGCCCAATAATTCCTTCTATTCCTCTCATCGTTGCACTGTTTTGAACATATGTTTGAATTATCTCATTAGATCTAAAAAAATCAAATTGAAATTCATAGAAATCTTTTTGACTCAACTTGGTTAGATTTTCGCTTTCCACGTATAAGAAAATACCAACTCCTATATCATAGATTAAAACGATCAACATCATCGAACAATAAATCAAGAATCCATCTACTCCAAAAGGGGATCACAAACATAGAGATATCAAACATCAGTTTCAATTGTCTCAAAAACTCAAACTAGAAAAAACTTACAATATCTTTCACGTAATTGATTTTTATAATTTGATGAATTATCAGCTATTTTTGCCAAATGAAAATGATCCAATGTCAGCTTTGAATAGAACAGGATAGAAAAAAAAACAAAAGTGATGCAAATTGATCGTGATGAAACTTAACCATTTGATTTTAATACCTTTTTTCTTGTAAGATTAGTGACTTCATATAGAGCAAAGATATAAAACTGTTTATGAAACATATCACAAAAAAATAGATGAAGATGTTCAGCAAAGAACCTCAAACCTCGATAGAAAAGAAGATTTTAGAAAACATCTCATTTACCAAAAAAGTTAAAAGTCCAGTACATGCCCAAGATGCAGTAGAACCATGAATGATTTTCAATAATCCTTCGAGATCTTTAACTAGACCTTGAAATAAATCCCATGAATTGTTTATATCAATCTGATTAAATTGTTGATGTCCCCAATCAAATGAATCCAACTGAAGTTGAATTTTTAAATCATCATATGCATCATTCACATTATGCAGTGAAATACCAATCAGAGTTCCAAAGACGATGGTTTGAAGGATAAATATTAATGGAAATACTATAAACCCAAGGTTCAAATAGATTGAACGATTTGTTGACCGTTTTGATTTCGCAGGTTCAATATCTGAATTCGACAACCTACAAATGCAACAACGTAAAATCAGATATTGTCATCTAACATATCAAAATGAAAGATGAAAAACTAGAGATGAGTGCAAAGAAATGAACCTTACCACGTCAAAAGACTATTCCACCCGGTGAACCAAATTCCTAAGGTACCCGGTAGCCAAGCGATCTCATACCTGACAAGCATCAAAACATGTTAGACTTTTTCACAAAGAACCCAGGATGATAATAATCAAAATATAAAAAGACCTACCAAACAAAAGCGTAAGAAGTTCTACTAACAGAAGTAGAACGAAAAGTAAAGAATGTGATAAAAATATAAATTAAAAAACAAATAGAAGTCATTGCTTCAGCTAAAGCCACAGTTATTGAACCATTGATGAGGATATATGGATTGGAAGATCCTAAAACAATCGAAACAATGCAAACGACAAAAGATCAACTTTCATGATTTAAACGTGAATCCACCCATCAGTATAACGATATAAAGTCAAAAAAAAGTCAAAAAAGTCGTGTTCACCAGAGATATAAATCTTTCTATACCACCACCAATGTTGATTTTGCTTTCTTTTAGAAACTGATTTATTAGACTTTAAACTCAATTTGAGAACTATTAAGGAACAAATCAAAATCGAAAAATAAATCAAACCAAAACCTAACAAGATTATTAAAAAGATTTTCTCTGGTAAAGGCCAAAAGAAACGATCAATTAAATTCAATAGATAGTCATAAGGGTTTTGATTTTTAGGTAACTTTTTGATCAGGTCTATTATGATGGGTAATGTCCAATCCTTTTCACCTTTCAGCATCTTCTTTTAATCTTGAATTTTCAAATTCAAAGGATCAAATGACGAGTCAAGCGAAAAGAAAGCTATGTAAAGAGACTACAGGATGACGTTTTGAAAAATCTACTCGAGATACGAATTGGAAGTACTTATTCGTCACCGAGAAAAGGATTCAGTCACAAGAATCAAGTAACCCATCAAAGTTTGATTACTGGATTTCTCCAAAACTCTACATTCAATTTGATGGCTCATGTCTCATGCATAAATGGAACGATAGGGAAGTGGTTGAAATGAGCATGATAAAGATGGATATGATTTAGAATCATAAAGTCCATTTCTATCTACCCTGCCCTCTCTCTCTCCTTTCGAGTTCTTGTTAAGTACAAGAAAGTTTCTATAAATCATCAAACTTCCTCAGTCATCATATAAATACACACACATACACATTTAATCTCTTTCAATAAATTTTATCATCATGCTTTTATTTCCTTCTTCTATCTTTCCTTCTCTCTCGTTAACTTTGTGTGTTATGTTTGGGTTGCAGATATGTCTGGACTGTCAAGAGATATGTTGATTTCGATTGAGTGCATCATAGGATAAGCACCATGAATAACTCTTGTCACGCCGGTGGTATAACATCGTGTCACTTATGATTATCAAATAAGATCAAGGTCGATGTTTACCGAAATTTATTCCTCGGTGTCGATCTTAGAGGAAAGGCAAGGACAAAGAACGGCTCCCAGTTTGGCGACTCGCGAGGACCATGTATGGGTTTAAGTCGACACATTCTCGATACACACATACATGTATTCTGGACACTCGATATACGCATTAACTCCCGCGTCACGTGATCAGAGTCAATTTCTTCAGACCATAAATTTTTCAAAAAGAGTTGACTGACACGACAATCAACCATTCCATACGACGACCTCAATATACCAACTTCGATTAACATCTTCAAAGCCCATTCCAATCAGTTTAAGAAGACGACATCTTATATAGAAACCTGATCGAATCGAACACTCACTTTCATTTAATCACTCAAATTTTCGATAATCTGAAGTAATAATGAGACCATTAACAGATGTCAGTCTACTAATTCTTTGAACCTACCAAAAAACCTCGGCTAATAATCATTTTCAAACCATTCTTTCTTACAGACTGAAGTGAAAGTAAGTCCTCTTTTCCACACTTCTGTACAAACATACAACAAAACTTACTCATGCGTTATCTTTTTTTCTTCTTCTTCTTTCAATCTTACCCATAGACTCTTTTTTCAAAACTTCATAATTATCTAGGAAAGAATTTAGTACATTTGATTGAACGTCAAGACGAAGAATTTTGCTTTAGATTACATAAAGATAAAGGTATTTACTTTTGATATCTTCATGATGAATTTACAAAACCAAAAACCAAAACTAATCACTACTTCGGTTTTTTTTTCTTGGATGAATTCAACATTTTTAGTATTCTACGTATCTGAAAATTTAGTTAAACATGCTACTTCGATTTCTAGAGATCATTTAATTTCATTAGGTACTTGTTTAGGTAAATTTTCCAAGACTGGAAAGTTTCGATTACATGTCACTGCATTAGATTGGTTAGCAAGATTTGCTCAATACAAAGTCAGCATCTCTTATTTTCATTCATCTCAAAGTCTACTTATCAAAAACTCATTCGTTTATTTGTTTGGTTCTTTTAGGTTTGGATCAAACCGAATGGAGAAATGCCATTCTTATATGGTAATCATGTAGTGAAAGCTCATTTAGGACGAATTACTGAAGATACACCTGAACATCAAGGTGTAGTTGTTTTCTCAATGAGTGATGTACCATTAGTAAGTTCGAATCTTGATATCTTGAAACATCCTTTGAATATCTACCATCAAGTTTAATCTTTAATACATGCTTTTATTTTTTGAAGGGATTTGGTGTGACAGCTAGAAGTACAACTGATACAAAAAAACTGGACCCTACTTCAATTATTGTCTTTCATCAAGCAGATGTAGGAGAATATCTTAGAGATGAAGTGAGTGTGATTCTTTGATTGTCAATCTCTTGGTCTATTACTAATTATCTTGATATCTCACTAGGGAACATTATTTTAAGTTTCTTTTCAGTCCTTGTTTTTTTCTTTCCCTTCAAGTTTAATTTTGTAACTTGATTTGATTTACACTTATTTCAGGATTTTTATGATCAATTCTGTTGTGATTTTTCTTTGAATAAAGAGTTTGTTCTTTGTTTCCACTTTCTATGACATCTTTCTATGAAACAAAGCCATCTAGTTTGACATCTTTATGGTCAACATCTGAGTTGATGTGTGTGATTGGACAAAGCATTACAGTAAATCAAAATGTTAAACAAATCCTCAAATCAACTCAAACTTTCCTAACCCTGCTATGTCATCTAACTAGAGACCTATTTGTAAAGACCTTGCCTCAGTGTTTCTGTGTTCAATTAAATATGCCTGTTCAGGTTTACTCAGGTGAATCTTCTTTTTGAATCCAGCATGTATGTAAGTGCAATGGAGCTTGCCACAGGAAGCAGTGATTCTATCAAGAAGTTTGAAGTGGTTGTAAGGAAATCTATCAAAAATCAGACCCTCAGGCTCTCTCCACCTACTGGCCAAAAAAATTTCAAGCCCCAGGTTTTATGTTTCCTTCACTTCGTCAATACTTCAACATCCTAGCACTGGATGATGATCCAAAGATGTGGTGTTCCTTCAGGTGAAGCTTTCTGAAGAATTTCCAAGACCTTCAAAACCTCCAAGCACTAAATTTTCTGTAAAAAAACAAATTGTGTTTTAGTGTTCTTTCAACTTAAACCCTTCCTAAATTACCTCAAGAATTAATCAGACTCAATTCTTATGAAGTTGAGCCGAAGTTGTTTATGAAGATAATTTGACAAAAAAGGTTTGCTAATTTGTTTGGAACAAAGTAAAAGCTATTTCCCAATTCAAGTTAAAATTACAAAGTATGGAATCAAATTGTAGACTTCAAGTAAATTTCAACCTTGTAAATTTTCAAGCCTTTAGAACCAAGTTTCAAACCTTTTTAACTTTCAATCAATTCAACAATTATCTTCTTTCTTCTCAAAAAAATTACCTACATACCTAATCAAACTTGAACCTTCAATACCATTTGTTTTGTTCAAATCTTTCTGGACCAATCAAGGTATTGTATCAACATCCAAAACATCTTCCAACTAAAAAAGTCCCATTAAATTAAACTGATAAAACTAAAGAATACTTTTGTAATAAGAAAAACTGATCAAGACCTTATCAAAAAAAAGTTGATTTGTTTTTTATGTTATTGATAGAAATTTGATACTTCAAGTCTGATTGGATATAAAACCTTGAATCAAAAAAATTCAAGACCGGTTCAAAAAGACCTAGTGATTTAATCTGCTTCACTGGAAGATTCAAAAATCCATTGTTCTTGAATATATCAAGTATTTCAACTTTTGTTATTTTCTTCTTCATTATAACAATATATGTTTGATTCCTTCTCTTGTAGTTGGCCCAGCTCATTTTTTTGCTTGAAGTTGACTCGCCTCATTTTTCGCATACCACTAAAATCCAATTCCAAAACAAACAAATCAATATCAATCAAACCCAAAAAGAGACCAACAGCACATCATCACAAAAACAAAAGCAAGAAAGAGATCTTTACCTCCACAGCTCTTGAAATTCCTTCTTCGACTCCAACCACAGGTTCATAACCTAAAACAACTCTAGCCTTTTCAATATTATAAAACCTAGTAGCACATGCATATCTCACCGAACTAGTGGTAAATCCTGCAGGTTTTTGTAAAACCTTACACCAAAGTTCGGCTAATAAAGCTAAAAGGACTCCAAGAAATTTAGGTATGATCCAAAGAAATGAAGGTATTGGTTGGTAATCTTTCGTCTCTTGAAGATGTTCGGATGTGGCATATGCTTTCCAAACTGATCTTGTAAAATCCCAAAAATAAACCGGTTCTCCACCTGTGATGAAAAACGCTTCACCTGCTACTGGTACGATCCCTTCTGGATACATAAACGAAGTTGAGATACTTGCCCATTGATCCCATTTGGTTCGTTTAGCAGGTAATGGTGTGTCAAGTTCACCTTTCAATTCTGAGATCCAACTTGCATTAGGTTCTTTAGGAGACGATTCACTCCTGATACTTGAACTAGAAAATTCCAGTAACTCTACATCATCTAGTACACCATCCTCTTCAGTCACGATCGTCCGGCTAGTGGGGATTCTTCTTCGAGGATTTGATTTACAAATCGGTTTTAGGTAAGTCGAAAAGGCCGATAAGGGAACTGATTCACCTAGTCTTGTGGCAGCTAGTAGATGAGCATGTACTACGTTATCGACGTATGTCCAATCGAACAGATTCTTGTTACTACCAATTTGGATTCGATGTTGTCCATTCTTTAAAACTTGGATGATACCCGGAATAGCCTGCCTATCACCTGGTCTACAATCAAACCCTTTGGATCAGCAAAATCATCTTCAATTGAAATGAATCCTATCAAATTTCCCCACCCGAAAATCCCAGCTGGTCGTAATGCGCATGTTAATAGTTTATCATTATCATTGGCCTTTAAGACGATCGCTTCAGCTTTTGCCTACATATTTTATTTCAATCAAAAATCAGTTTAATGATCTTCTTTAAAAGAACAACTTTTGAAAATTGTCAAATGATAACAAAACTTGAAGTGGTTAAAATATCAATTCCGATACCTACTTTAGTAATATTATAATGATCCAAAGCATTTTCAGGTATAGGCAATCTTTCATCCACATTTATTAAATCTTCACCATTATAAACCACACCAGCACTAGAAGTATAAACCAATTTTTGAACTCCAAATTTCTTACAAGCTTCAATCACATTCTCAGTACCTTGAATATTAACCTTTTCACAAACTTCTCGACCACTACCTATCCAAGGAGACGCAGTATGAAAAACAACATCAGGTTTGATTTGATCGAATGAATTGATTAAATCATTTAAAGAAGTTAAATCTGATTTGATAAAAGAATGTTGCATCGAGTTGGTTGGATTGAGGTCTGATTCATTTGGAAGATCAATCGGTCTTGATGTGAAGTAACGTTGGACTAGATCTAATGAAGTGATGATCGAATCTGGATAAGATTTAACTAATTCTGAAATTAAATTATGACCTAGGAAACCTTCACCACCGATCACAAAGTAAGAAGTTCCTGATGAAGTTTTGGCGATAGTCATGACTTGGTTTGATTGTGATTTTGATGTTTGATTTTGATGTTCGATTTGATATTCGATTGGTCAGTTTGATCCAACTCACTCGGTTTTCAAGCTACAAGATTAATGGTTTGGGGTAAAGTTAGTTGATTGAGTTCAGCTGCAGCATTCAGGGGTCATTCCCATTCATTTTTAAATAAATACTACCTTTGCTAAAAAGGTTGACCGGGTCGACCGCGAAGGAGAAGTGAAGAGATGCCAAATTTGGCCGCAGCCTGCTGCGCAGCGCATCCAAATTCAAATTTCGCTCGATCCAAAAAATGATCGAGTTGTCAAAACACTCATTGTGACCGTCTTACGGCAACTAATGAGATTAGTTACAATCAGTATTTAGCTGAATACATTGAGATCGTTCAAACAGCCGACCTGCGACTCATCTTTGATGATCGTGAACTCATCGTTGGACCCCTTATCTAAGCTTTCTTGGTGCAACGGTAAGGTGTGAGAACCTTGTCATCGCGGTGCACAGCTCGGCGCGTGTTCGAGTCGCCTTGATATTTTTGAACTTGTGTGGGTTGACCTCATGATACAAAGAAAGCAGAAGTCTTTAAAAACTTTTTTTTGCCTTACCCACCAAAAGCTCAAAGAGGGTCATTATGGAACAATGATGGCACTGACACATCTCTGAGATGTACTTCTCAATTTTGTTCCAAATTTCAGCAAAAATGCTACACCCTGGGGATTGAACCCACAAGCAACTACAACCATTGTTGATATTGAGCAATGCGCCACCTACTACTGTATACTGCTAGTCCACAGTGCTTTTCATTTCCTCAAATCAGCAAGATATAGATGAAATCGGAACAAGTCGCATAAGCCAGCTGTTGGCGCGACTTTGTCATAATCTAAATCAACTGAATATCGGTCGTGACCAATCTTGGTATCTATCATAACCACCAGGTCACGTTGAGTGTTCTGACAACCCGATTGTTTTTTGGATCGAGCGAAATTTGAATTTGGATGCGCTGCGCAGCAGGCGCTGCGGCCAAATTTGGCATCTCTTCTCTTCTCCTTCGCGGTCGACCCGGTCAACCTTTTTAGCAAAGGTAGTAAACAAAATCAACCAACCAATCCTGAGACGATCTCTAAACTTTCATGCATTTCAATTTCCAGCTGATGACACCCCACTTGACATTTGATATCAAGCGGATTTCACAGCATGATATGATGATCATCTTGAGGTGTCACATAGATGTGACATGTAGTCCTCCTGATCGACAACAAGCTTCACAGACTCAGTGACAGCTCAGCGATGTTCGATTGGAAAAGCATCACCTGGCACTGCAGATTAGGGGGTTGAAGTAGGTTGAAATGGAGTTATAAGCAAAAAAAATACTTTCACACCAGACCCTCAAGTCTGGATGATAACCCCAAATTCCCGAGGGCAGGTATGCATCATGCAGGTGTGGATAAACCCTACTCGGTTACTATATAGAAGCCGGGCCCGGCGAGACACTCTGGAGTCTGACTAGAAACTGAGTCTCAATTTCAAAGAGGAAATGTGAACTTAGTATTAAAAAATACTAAAACAGGCGTTGGTTTGGGCGAAACCCAAGGCAGATTGCCGAGGGTGAATAAATTGCTAAAACAAAACATAAAGCACACTACGGTGTACGTATAGACTCATACTGACATATAAACATGACATGGATAAAACATGTAATTTTTCCATGTCATGTTTGGTCGAAATTCACCCCCAAGCCAAATACCGTACGACATGACTCATACTGACACACCTCGACATGGATTTTTGTTTTCCAAATCCCGTGTTGTAACATGAGTCATCTCGTACATCGTACCGTCCGGGAAGTGTCATACCGACACAACATGACACCAAATGTAAATTTCTCCAAAATATTGCATTCGGATCGGACTATCCAATTTTTGATGTATTTTTCTCTGCAATCAAGAGTTTTAAAAAAAATTAAACACTCAATCCTAGCTCTACAGTCAACTATCTTTATTCAATAATCCATCTACATTATTATTACTCTGTCTTGCTCTTCCACAAATAATGCCAAAACAAAACAGCATAGCTATCATCAACACAGTACTGGAAAATGGTTTCAATGACGGACTCACCATACGAGAAATACAAGATAACCTTGTGAAAGAAGGAATCACAATGACTGAGAGAACAATCTATTGACATTGTAAACATTTGGATCACAACAACACCAAGCCACCTGTTTGCAAGGATCACCTTGAAAGACGTAATGCCATCAGCAAACACTTCCATGATGGCAAATCAATTGAAGAGATGCTCATATGTGTACTCTAACATATGGGTTGCATTTTGTTTTATGTGTAATGCTTTGTTGGATCACAACTGGGATGGCATTCTCTTTGAAGGAAAAGATCTCAATGTTTTTGGTACTTTACCGTCAATATCTTACACATTTTTATTTGAAAACTCATATTTTGTATGCATCTCAACCACAAGTATACCTTGAAGTATATGAAAAAAACAATACTGATTCATAATTTGAAAAAAGGAGCCAAATTTTTATAAAGATCGGAAAATACATGAATTAAGTCAAATGACAAAGATTTTAATCTTGCTTTGAATGCTTCCATCCCATCCTTCTGCTTCTTACTTTTTATCGTATCACATTTCCTTTTGAACACATTTCTGTGATGGAGATCTATACTTCTTCTTACCACTAATACCAAACCAATTAAAAGAATATCAGTTAAAGATTCCTTATGATCAGACAGCAACCCACTTTCAGCGTCCATCCCACACTTGGATAATGATGACTAGGCTTGCATAAGGTCTGCGTCAAACCCTACCCACAAGAATCTGGTGCGTGAAGCCAACCCAGCCTTGGGGAGGACAAGTACAGTTGAACCTCCGCAGGGACCATAGATCATCATGATCCAAAACCAATTTGATAGAGGAATAGCATTGGTGACATTAAGTAGTTCCGCATTCACATAGTGAAGAATGAACATGCAAGATACAATTCTATCCCCTATCAAATTGGCCTGTGAGACTTCTGTGTAGACTGCTATCTGACCATCATGGAAAAAAAAGTAAGTTTCATCTCACATCATTACCATGTTTTAAATAGACAAATCTAAAAATCAGCAAGTTGAATTACTTTCAAGAAGTTGAAATGGTTTGTTTTGAGTTGACTTAGATGAGATTGGTGGTTTTGATTACAAATGAAAGATTCAATGATGAACTGTTGATATGATTGATTTCAGGTGAATCAGATGAAGAAGATTGATCTTGATTGAATCAGATGGAGATGATTGATCTTGATTGAATCAGATGGAGATGATTGATCTTGATTGATTTGGATTGAAACGATCGATTTTGATTGAATTGGAGGGGAAAAATGATTGATTATGATTCAATCAAATGGAAAGGATCGATTGAATATAAGATCAATTTTGTGCCTAATCACTAAAAAAATTAAACCAATGTCAAAGTAATCATTAGTAAAATGTTGAAGACTTGTTTCTTAGGAAATAACAAATGGATTGAAAGGGGGTGGGACTGAGAAGAGGAATGGAATCTAAACCTGAGCAAGAGAACAGTTCATTGATTGAACAGAAAAGAAAGGTACTTTTGATGGCAAATCAATAAGTTCCAAGTTGAATATTGTGAGTACTGCAAAGATAGAAGGAGTTGAAATACTTACCCAAAGAAACAAAAGTGAAAGATGGAATGTTGGAGTTGGTAGGTGGGAAGGGTTGATGATTTAAAAGGTACTTTAGACCAGAGCTCGGTTTAAGAACTTTCTTTTGGATTTCAAATTTCAAATATGAACTACAGTTTGGCTGAATGCTGTTTAGCACAATGTGATTTAACACTCCGGTGGTGAATCGGGCAAAGCTATTAGATGTGATATGGTGTCATGTTGTTTGTCGGCCGTCAGACCATCCGCCATGACTCACGTTACGACACGGGATTTGGAAAACAAAAATCCATGTCGATGTGTGTCAGTATGAGTCGTGTCGTACGGTATTTGGCTCGGGGATGAATTTCGACCAAACATGACATGGAAAAATTACATGTTTTATCCATGTCATGTTTATATGTCAGTATGAGTCTATACGTACACCGTAGCACACCCTACGGGGAGGCTAGCGGTCCTAACACCTACTAATGATAACATGATGACACCGCGGGAATCATTCAGTGTGAAACCGGATTGAGCAAAGTCGCAGTGTCTGGGTCCGCGACTTCCTTCAATCACAGATCTCGTTTGCCACAGGTTTGCCATAGCTTTGCAAGCTCGTCTCGAGCTGCCCTCTACATAGTCATCCACTCAGGCTGTAGTATGGACTAATGGAGGTACCATATGTCTAGACTCTTGTAACATATACGTAATAAAGCTCATGACTCATACATGATCTTGAGTGGTCTGAGGATATTGAAAGGAAAAACATGCATAACATGTACTGCAGCTCAGGCGGACAACTCGAGGGCAGCTTGATGCAAGCTAGCAAACCTATAGCAAACCTATGGCGAACGAGATCCGCAATTGAAGAAAGTCGCGGACCCAGACACCGCGACTTTGCTCAATCGGGTTTCACACTTAATGATTCCCGCGGTGTGACAAAAAACTTCTGAAAAAAGGAAAACTCAGCAGTACACATAAAAAATATAAAAAATCAAAAAATACAGAACTTGACACTAAAAAATTTCAAAAACAAATAAACTGCTACTTCTCTTTCTTCTTTTTCTTATCAAACAAAGAAAAAAGTAATAATAATAATAAAAAATGAACAGGGACTGAAAGGGAGGGTGGGCTCGAAAAATAACCAAAGAGGAAAGGTAAACGACGGAGAATACGACAGTAAAACGCTATGGGAATGGATATCGATGAAATTCAATAAGGCGGTAATCAGCTATGACATCATAAAACAAACAAAGAATCCGACCCGTTAGTATTATTACACTCAGAAAGTACCGCCCGAATTACATTCACATTCCCATCCGTTAATAACCCGTTACCAACAACTAACAATCAAGACCCACCTAATACCTATCATACCAACCAACCAAACCCCTTACACCCAACTCAGCTACAGAATAAATCTCAAAAGGAAAGAAGTCGAAATTTAATTATCACCCCTAACTCAAAGATAGCACCTCACCACATGTTGACAATCATGATAAATTCCTCTAGCCAAAACCAATGAGACCTCAACAGAGATTCACAAGGATGAGCGCTCAGTATGTATCCAATTTCAAAGAGTGAGTCATGCTATAGTACTTGAATCACCAACATCTTCTTCTAATCCTGATCGATGTGGCATTACATTTACTTGATGGTCTTCAAACAAATCCTAATTAGGAAGTCCTTCCCTATAAAAGCTTTCAACTTTCAACTCGATTATCCTTCACCCATCTCCACTTCTCGCCAAAAGAATCGTTATCACTTTCAATCAATCAATTAAGAGAATTTTTCAACGTTTCAGCATGCGACACCTTGTCGAGTACTTGAAATGCGATGCCACTATTTATAGGATGTGATCATGTATTAACAAAACAATTCCGCGACTCAAGACGCTGTGGAGTTTCTTTACAGATAAAAGCCTACCCATGCAGGAGTCAAAAAGAATTTCCCCGTACGGGAATCGAACCCGTCTCTACCGCGCACTTCGTAATGAAAGGCGGCCATACTAGCCGATATACTAACGAGGACTGTGGGAGATCTCCCGATTTGGGGTATATGATCTGACCCCAATTTTGACATCAGCTTCAAGCAATGCAACAAAAGACACAATATGTACCTGTGATTTTCCGGTTTAGGATATAAGACCTGAGCCGAAATGTGACATCAGCTTCAAACAATGAAACAAAAGACACAATACCTGTGTGCCCACACAAACCTAATGAATCATTAGAACAAAGACTCCAAAGATGGCATAAGAAGAGAAGCACTCTGGATCTAAGAAGGGTGAAGGCTCTGTTTGGAGAGCTAACGGGAATGATAAATGACCATGGCATTGAAATTTTGGGAAACATTTAAACAGTCACATGCAAATATCAGATCAGCCTTTTATCTTCCATTTATTTACACATACATATATACAAAACTCATAAAAGAATACCAAACCAAAACCATTCTACACTAACACGCACACGCACTCATACATAATTCTAATGAATATTCAATCACTTAAAAAAATACTTCATTGACTTTAAGAACACCTGATTTTTCTCTTAAACAAAACGCGATCCTTTTTCACAAACAACTAACTAAAACAATAATTGATAGGTTGTGCTCATCACTAATAGATTAATGTAATGGTTCATTTCTTAACCATTTATCAAATAATTCATTCGCAACTTCAGGTTGATCATGAGGAACCTAATCAAAAACAAAACAAGTCAATCACAAGCCTCTTTCTTTTGTTTTACCAAAAGGTTCTCATTATAAACGTACCATATGACCCGATTCGAAAAACGAAACAAAAGTATAATTTCCAGCTCCAAGACCAGCTGAACGAATCATACCTACATGTCCAGCTTCACTCTTAGGTGCTTGATCTAATCCTAAACTTCTTTGTTTTTCTTGAACGATCTCACTGAAATATTTATGTCTTTTAGATGAAAACTCTTCACTGAATTCTGTATCTAATTCTAACATCCATCTTTCATTACCAAGATAATTACCTACAAAGAGTTCATAATTCATTTGGATTAGATTCATGCATGAAGGGATTAAAGAAAAGAAAATGGTGCGTGAAACTTACACATAAAGTCATCTTCACCTGCGTAGATCAAGAGACGGATTCCATTACTGAGAAGTTCAGGAAGTAATTTAGCTGAGTTATGCATATTATCACCAGACATCTAAGAGAGAACACAAAAAAGGAAATGAATGTCAATGAGCTGATCTTGATGAGATTGGATATGAATGAAATCATACCTGGAAAGCTCGGTTCACATCGTAATTACAACTTTCGAATTTGAGAGAAGATGGAACCCCAAGTTCGTCTCGAACATCCGGTTGATTCATGTAAGTTTCAATCCAACCCATCTCTTCACTATAATAATGAAAACAAAAACAAGATCAGTAAAGAATTCAAAATGATTGGCAAAAAAACAGAGAAAGAGAAGGGACTTACTAGCATAACGGATTAGCTGATTGATCACATTTCAATCTAACATCATAAGGATTCAAACCACTGGATTGAATAGGACCGGCAATCGAACTCCAACAATAAAGTGTAGCAGGCACACAAGTAAATCTAGAAGGACTATCATAACAAAACTTTTGAAGTCTTTTACAGGTCGGAACTTTGGATCGGATCGATGAGCAGGTTTCTTCATCAAAGATGGCATATGGAGAAGGAGCACAAGCGTAATCAGGTACACTAGCGAATTGAATCAAAGGATCTGTTAAACCGTTTCCAATCAAGATAGTAGACAAAGGAATATGAAACTTTTTAGTTGACATCAATGAATTCGTTGTTTTCAATCGGTTTAATTCTGCATTCTTTTTGTATAGAACAGAAGCGATATTAGGAGCATAAGTACCACCATAACTTTCAGCTGCTACACTAAAGTTTAATTTTGAATATTTTGGAAATTGATTGTAAAACAGTTGTAGGAATGCATAAACATCTTGAGCTGCATCTGATGAATTGTTAATCGAATCATCTCCATCTGTATATGAATAACCAACTTTGACTGGTTGATCTAAAAAGATTATGTTCGCATTGTTGTTCCAACTATGAGGATTCGATTCGGTATTTTTACCACCATTGGCAACATTACAAGGACCGAGTTCGAATAAAAGTCCAGTAGAAGAAGAACAACCTTTTTGTTACAAAAAGTTAAGAAAATCAGTCAATCCAATCATATAAACCAAACACGGTTTTTAAAACTTTTCTTACCTGGTCCTCCATTTAACCATAATACTAATGGATCTGAATCAGGTGAGTTTCTAGATTCAAAGAACCAAAAGAAAAGATGTTTAGATTCGGATATATCTAAATAACCACTATACTGTTTAACAGTTGTATCACATAAACCCTCAGGAGATTTAAGACGAATAGCATAATCAGGAAACTCTGCTAAAGTGATTCTTTCATCTATTCAAAGAAAAAAAGTCAATCTATGATGAGTTCAGAAGATGATGATTTGATGGAGATATAGTGGTGTGATGATCTTACAATCGATTCCACCCGTCTTGACAGTTTGAACATTGAAAGCTGGACCCTCGGTTTGGGTTTCTTCTTGAAGGTTTGGAGGATTGAAGGTAAGTTGTTCTGCTTCTTGACTTGCTAATGAAGTAATAGTTAAAGTAGAAAGGCTTAAGATAGCCAATAAAGGCTTCAAGGCTATCATGACCCGAATTGAAATCAAGTGATTTGATAGGATACAAGATTGAAGAATGAGTTTTAAGTAATGTGATCAGGAACAGGAGGGATAGAAGTTGAAAGGGAGATAAAGAAAAGCAGGGGAGAAAAGGAAAAGGAAAAGAGAGAAGTAGGGTTTATATAGTCTTTTAGCTTGGTTAATTTGATTTGATCGATCTGACTAACAAACTTGTATGAAAATCAAATTCGATCATCATATCAATCGTCATGCAGTAGACTCTTTCACTTTCTCATCAACCAATCCAAGTGAAAACTATAAAAACACAAAAAACTATTCAAACTCTCCTGTGAATGTGAACTCGGGTTCATCGAGCTTGATCAGTCTCACTGTGCTTGGGTAGAAGGGAATCCAAGCAATTTCTCTAGTCTTGAGAATTCGGAATTGCAAAAAGGTACTTGTGGTGTATGTCAACAAGTTGTAACGAAGAACTGGTTGGGAAATCTAACCCCTATGTGCGGTTTTTCAAGATATGTAAAAGAACTGATGAACTTCTGAGTGGTCATCATCTTGAGTGACGTTGATCAGGTGTAAAATCAAGATTGGCTCAAGTTCTGATCAGTCAGCCTTCCATGATGAGTATAATCTTCGTGTTAACTTCACTCCTGATTCTTCGATTGGATACAATCTCATACAAGCTCACTTCTCACTAAAGGAATTCTAATTTCTCAACTTCTTACCCAGTCTTCAAGATCCATGAGATACCCCTAAAGTCTTCTCTATCCTGGTCTATATGAACTCCATATGTAGTAGACCACTCAGGCATCAGTGACGTCAAACATTGGAATGTATTTAGAGAAACAGTGGAATTCGTTGGAGGTGTGCTTGTATCTATCATTCTTAGAGTTGTCGTCAAAAAAACACTCCTTATTCTCTCTGGAGTATGAAAAGTAGTACTCAAAGCTACAATAACCAAATTTCTACACACCCTAGAACTCGAAGAAAATAATTCAATTGAAGAAAAATAATCACTTGAATGTATTTCTTGAAGTTTAGATTTTTTTTCTAGCGTTTTGAAAAAAGACTTCAAGGAATGATATAAATTTTGATCTCCCTTTATTCGAATTAGGAAAAAGATGAGAACAAGCAGCTTTTAATAGGAAGGAATTAAAAACATTAAGCTTCAGTGTCCTAAAAGGTCAATTTTAGGAGACTTTCAAGTTTGTAAAAGCTTGAGCGATGACTCGAAATCCAAGCAGGCTTGATTAAATTTAAAAACGAGTTGTATATCGATACCCGATAATGCTCGTCCGGAGTCTCGTCGCCACGGTCCGCGGTGTTACGGATACCCAATCGATAAACTCGATCCGCTGGATATGGAAGTTGAACTCTGATCACCAATTCGCCTTTCACCTTTCACAACACTTTTATCAACAATCAATCACATTAACTTCTCGAACCATCATAACTCTCGAACTCAACCTCTTTCTCTCAAGACTGCAACTTATTCTTACACACTCAGTAACGAAAATACAACTTGATCAACTATTAGAGGGTTTGGTTATTGAACGGGTCGTAAGTTATCCTTTGTTTTTCTAGATTCTTTTGAGTTAGATTCAGTATTAAAGAACAACAAAACTGATACGAATCTCTTTGTTTTCGAATCACTTTTTAGATCATCAAAAGGTTTTACTAGGAAGAAGAGATTTCTTTGGTTTTATAACTATGTCTGAATCACCTGAAGCTACACCAAAGACCGAAGCTCCTAGAGTGAGTCAAGAAAACTTAAAGATCCTAATTTCCTTAACAAACGAAAACCTTGAGATTTATTGATATTTGGGATGATTTCAATATATGTGTTATATGTTGAAAGGCACTGATTAAATCAGTAGATATGTCAGAATCGCTTCAACAGAGTGCAGTAGATGTAGCAACTGAAGCTTTAACAAAATGGAATGTTGAAAAAGATGTTAGGGAATTTCATTCTAATGCAGAATTCAGAAAAGTTTCTCAAAAAAGCAAGATGATGACTTTTGAAAACTTGGGTTTTTACATTCAATATATAGATTGCTGCTCATATTAAAAAAGAATTCGATCAACGGCATCCTGGAACTTGGCATGGTAAGCTCAATCATTATGTTTCAATAGATGTTTGATTTTGATTTTGATTTACCTTTTTTTATCAAGTGGTCGTTGGACGCAACTTTGGTAGTTATGTCACACATGGTTTGTTGATCTTATTAAATTCGAATTGATTCTTAGATTCAGGTGGAATGGACCATATGATACGTTTGGTGTTTGATACTGACCTAACCCATGGTCCCTTTATATATCTTTTCAAAGAAACCGGACATTTCATTTATTTCTACATGGGTCAGATAGCCATCGTAAGTTATTCATCAGATCTTTCTTGGACTCCATTCCACATCATCCACGCGTATTGTTGTTAAACTCTTGGTTTTCTTTTTCTAACCTCATTATTTTTGGGTTAGCTATTATTCAAGAGTGGTAACTAAACCTTTAAGATCTTCAATGTGTTGTTCTAAATACAATTCATAAACTTTTTGAGATCTATCACCTGTATTTCGAACTCAGAAGATGATCCGTACATGATCAGTCTGGGTTCCTTAAACTTATCTTATTTTCTGAAAATCTTCAATTTTTTTTTTCAATCGATCAACCCATCAATCAATTTGCACACACACGTCACCCAAAATACAATCAAGTTTAGGTTTTTGAATGAAGATGTTGTTTATTTTTCAGGTTTTCGTTTTGTATTTGAAAGTTTAGTCTTCTTTTGTCTCTCTTTATTAGGTTTGGTTTGGAGTTTGGGTTGGGTTGAGTCATACCCTTATCTTTGTCAAGTATTTAACATATTGCTATCTATACATTGGGATCTCTTTTTTTTACTTGATCTTTTGTGGTCTCTTTTTTGGGGGGTTTACACGTTTATTTTAGATTGAGGTCCTAGAGTCATGATGATCTTTTGGTTTATGTTTTAAGTTGATTTTTTAAGGGATTGGTTTGATTAGAGGAAAGTGATGAAAGGTCATGGTAAATTGGTGATCTTGACCTTGGTATTTGAAGCTCCAATATTGTCTCCTGAGCAACACGCCACCAAGCTCAGTGAAGGAAAGTTTTGACTTCACTCATTGTGCTGAAAGATCTTTGAATTTCTGAGAAAGACGTTCAAAGAATGTAGTAATTCTGGCAAGATTTCTCAGTTAACTCATGTTTCTTCTTAACATCACATGATTGTAATTTGGAGAAACAACATGGCTGACGATTTCTTCGAAAGATGATTTTGATTTGGTATAATGATATCTTCAAGTTAATTGAATTGTCTATCACTATCTATGTTTCTTGGGTTCCAACCCATTTTGTGATATATTCGTCAGGATCAATTCTTCCGCTCCGTTTCATCAAATATGAGTTGGGACGCATGTGCAGAGCCATTGATATGAAAATATCATATTCTATAACAACATATACCTTCCCGTTAAATATCTGGGTATGGACTATCAACGAGCCTACGGTACTTTGGTGAGGAAAACGATGCAGAGGATTCAGAAAAGAGAAACGCAAGGGGAGAAATTTCGTTCAAGGGGAGAAACTGATGGAAGACAATCTTTTGTACGCGCAGGGTTCTTCACATGTCCCTTTGACTATATCCTTGACCAATCCATCACGTGATATGAACTCTAAGATCAATTCTTCTGGACATTCTCGTTGGATACAATTTCAAATCAGCACACAGATCCAATCATATCAATACTTCATCTTCTATCACAAAATGAGCCTTTTGGTCTAATTTCTATGGTATGAGTTATTCACAAATCTAACTGTATTGGGATGAGAGAAAAGATGCAGAAAGTGTAGGTATGAAAAAGAAACACCGACGTGATGGAGGACAAAATTCCATCAAGTGAAACTGATAAGAAAGGATGGACAGAATCTAATATTCTTCATAAAATGGCTTTTATCGACATTTGCAACGCTGGTGACATGGTATCTGTTATTGATAGGAATGTGGCGACAAAAAACTCATCATTATTTCCAAGTCTGGTACAAGAAGGATTTTGAGATGAATTATTAAGCGGAAAAGTAATACTCACTGAGTTCATAACGTCCTCGACATGTAAGCCACACCCGCCCCATGTATATCTTCCACATATGTTACATTTTGTAATACTTGAAAAGAAAATATGAAGAATCAGACTCAAAACTATTTAGGATTGATAAAATGTGTAATGAAGAGTTTAATACTTCGAGGCTTACAAGCATGATATGACCAACTCAAGATATGAATATTTCATTCTCGATTTTGGAAGAAGAAATTTGATAACAAAGGTGGTTGGTTGGTTGGTTTTACTCTAAGAGAAGTCTTGGAGTTAGCTTTTATCTGAATTCACGTTGACCTTTTACACTCTCGAGATCCAAAAAAAAGAACGGAAGGCGTGGTAGAATAGAGATCAAGAAGGTTTCCCGGCTTGAGAAGTGCAGGTTGGATGAGTAGATTGATCTGTCAATGACGAAAAGAACCACTTCAAGGAATTTATAAATTCTACTACATATATATATATAGTTGACGACATATCACGACCGTACCACGATGTGACCTTTCCATAACATTTAGTATTTCTTTAAATCGACCGTTTCAAATATTTTAAGAATTTAAATGCGATAAGACTAATTTAAGACTCAAAATATAGTCCATGAAGCTGGGTTCGAGTGTCTTGATAATCTGTTCATCTCACAACCCCCGGTGAAAAATGGCCTGTGAGCTTCATCGGCTTATAAGGAAAACATATGATGTGGAGACTGAGTACATACCTCGGATGTGATGTGAAACTTTTCGGACTTTTTTGGATACCTTCGCTCTACTTCGCTCTCACTATTCTTCTTGACGGATGTCCCCTACATAGATACGCTTACAAACAGCTCATGGGGTGGAAGATCCCAAGGCGCAACTCTCAGGAACTTTGTATTATGTTGATATCATCAAGCATATATACGTAATTTTTCACCGGGAGAAGGGTGGAATGGCCCATAATCAAAAATTATGTCAAGGAAGACGAGATCCTTGCCTGGCAGTCTTGAAAGAACAGGCGGGATTAGAGCCGAGTGGATGAAACGAGACATTTGGACACGTCGCCCACCATTGATTTACCTAACAGATATTACTCAGCTTTCTGTTACGTGAATTCCAACGATGGAACAAACCACCTTCGAAGATGTCTGAAATGAAATCGGATAAGTAGTACATCACAAATCCCAGGTGAAATCTGACACACAAGACAAATATAGAGAGCGGAGAAGTTTGTGTGAGTTGATCCGATTTGCATGCCAGTCTTGAAGCGAGGCTGGTCAGGTTTGACTAATGACGATATTTGTTCTTGATTCCCCGCTCACGTATGATCAAGTAGGCAAAAATGGTTGATGATATAAAAAAATCGTCATCCTAAACGGCGATTGTACACTTTGAAAGAAACGCGATCCTAACATATCGCAAACAAAAGAAGGCTAAGGATGAAAATTAAAGAGTAGACTGAGTTTTTTTATATAGTGTAAAGAGATCTTCAGGATATGAGGAATTATACGATGCTTCACGTCTTAGATCATAATCAGTCGTAATCCAGAAGATCGGTAGATGCGTCAAAATGATCGACGTGTTTCAAGAACAATTTTTTTCTAAAATCGATTGAGCAATTCGCACGAATTTTCGAATATGTAAACCTCATCCATTGCTTGGTGAAAGAAAGACGGGATCTTCTCCGGAAGCGGCGATATTATAGCTCAAGGGCAAATGTTTTTGCGACCGAACTTTTGTTGTACATCCAAATATTCAGCGGGGGGGTGATCCGTGCTTTTGACATTTTTCGGGGTGTCCCCCGCGCGGATCAGAGTGCACAATTGCATATTCAGGGCTATGATCACAGCTCTCTTCGCCTTGCCTAGGAGGTAGAAAATTCCTCAAAATAAGGTACTAAATGATCACCAAGACGGGGGTCCGAGACTTGAGATCTACCGCTCCTGAAGCTTCCTTGATACCGCAGGTTCACTAAATTTTCTTGCCAATTTCCCGCAAAGTTGCTCCAGGTTTGCCACCAAAATCATATATGTTTCCGAAGTTGTCTGACTTAATGATAAAGAACAATTTTTTTTGAAATTGTCTACCACCATCAAACAACAATTCATACCCAAGTAAAATTGCCCAGCATGTGCATAAATTAGGTGATTGAAGAAATGCAAGATCATCCATTGAGTCCTTCAATTCTTACATATGTCCTTGGAGACTTTGAGCCTCACTCTCAAAATACCTCACATGTCACCTAAAAAAATAGCAAACCACAGCATATATTCAATACATGAGTCCTTTGAAGAAAATTCATGCTCTGTACCACGATGAAGATGATCCCAACACAGTTCTAGTTGTCCTGCTGAATTTCAATCTTTGTCTCTCATCTGCCTTTCTTACAAAATCAATTCCTCTGAGCATAAAAGGTGCGTAGATATCTAAATGATATGAGCTAGATTGTCTTGGAGATGGGTTGTAGCAGCTTTGTAAGTACCAAGTCTTGGAATTTACCGCTGTTGTGAACATTAAAAAAACCTTTTGCTATTGGAGATATCCTATACATGTTATTGCATGAAAACATGTGATTAGAGGGTAGTGCAGATTATTCCAGGGATATATGGCATCATTAGTGGCTCTCAAACCTGCCCCGGTTTTCTTAAAACCCAGTTGACCCAGTTGTTTTTTGGCAGTAACTTTGTGTATCAAGTTGACATTTGTTGACAGCTCCCAGCCAAAAATTCTACTGGGGCAACCAGGTTTTTTGTAACTGGGTCAGGTTTGAGAGCCACTATTCTTTCATATAGATCCACCTGAACACTCCAACTTTTAACCTATTTGTATGTAGATAAGAGACATGAAATTCAATGTTTTTTTGACAATGGTCTTGGTCTTCCACATTTGACTGTCAACAATCCATCCTTATGTTGTCAGCTAAGTATGAAGGAAAACCAAATTTTAGCAGACAGGCACTGAGAAGCTTGTCTTGTTTTTCAGATTCAACTTCTGACTGTGTATGAAAGGTGATGGATTAGAGAGTATTCTTTGAAAAAAATAGTTGAGAGAGTTTGAATTTAATGACCAGTCAATCCATCAGTATTATTTTCTTCTTGTCATTACATTTTCAAATTTCTGAAAGAGGCTTGGTATATCCTGGATCCCACAGAGGAGGGATGATGATTAGATGGTATGAGGATACTTTTTAAAATTTTGACCTTCAGATCTTTGTGTCATAGAGTTTTCATCTCAGCATTCTTCTTGTAAACCATGCTGAGAACCCAGACATCAACTCACATCTCTGTTGGCAGGCGGTATAGAAAAATGGATGACCTTAAGCCAGGGAATAGTACAAGACACAACAATAACTTATCTCCTGTGGCTAACCATATCTCGATGTTTGAGCCTTGAGAATCATTCCGTTAATATAATGTTAGCACATATGAAAGGCTAAATTCACCAATCAAATGGGCATTTAGAGGTTGTGAGGAACTTTTGAGGTAGTAAAAAGGTACACAAGCAGAAGTCGTGTAGCTCATTCATTTGGTTCAAACTTCACAGTGTATTAATCACATATGTTTAAAAACAAATGTCAAGATTGGTTCATCATCAGAATTCTTTCATCCAAAGTGACTCATCATGTGAATTCTTCATATTATGTTAAAATGTCTGCTCTCACAACCAGACAGTAGGCACAAGGCAAGTCAAAGATCCACATTTCTACCCAGAACCTCCAATAAAATTTCAAGTGATGTTACAAAAACCTATTTTACAATCACAACCAAACATGCATGATTTTGTCTTGCATGCTGTTTCAGAGGTACATCCTATATCTGAGCAGGAGATCTTTTCAGACCTTGTCCCCTTATCATCTTACTCAAGACTTGTGTGTAATCTTCTAGTGTCAGTGAATCCCATAACTTCAAGTTCCTCTGGATCCTTTAACACTTCACAAATTGTTGGTACCACCACAATTCCCAACATTAAGCTTAGTAAGATGATTCTTCTTGGTGGGACACCTATCATTGCAACAAGAAGTATCAAACTAAAAAGAAGAGACAGGTAATCTAAATCCATTTAGGGTTGATCATATAGTGGAATTTTTATGAAAACTAACCCCAAAACTTTGTGCAATCATTTGGGGGATTGTTCTGCCAAAAAGGAATAGGGTAAACCAGCTTCAGGATTATTCATGTTTCCATTCAACATGACCAAATGTTTGTTTCAGGACAAGATTTGACAAAAGACAAGGTCCTTACTCACTTTCACAACCCAAATTCTGTTCGGTATATGAAAGGTGTGAGGGATGTTGAATCAATTTGGTATTATATTGATTGAGTTAATTCTTGGTTTTGCTGGAGATTTATATCATCAAGACTTGGTACAGCTTTGCTTGAAGATATTAAGAATCAGTGAGCTGTGAGTCAATGGGAGCAAGAAATAGATTACAGTGTGAGATATGTTGATAGTCAGGAAGTGTTTGCAATATGAGCAATTAAATATCAAAATTTGAAGTCCTTTGGAGTCTTTGAGATTATCTTCTAAGTTCTTGTCATGATCATTTCACCGTCTCTATATACAAGCCCAAACATTCACTGGAAAATTTTCCCCTCAACAGTCAGAGGGGTTTTACCAAGGTTAGGCCACACCTGAGTGTTCAATAGCTGAAGCAAACAGGCTCTATTCTTGAAGCAATAGCCGGTATCAAAGCAAACCTGGTTGCCAAAAACCCGGTACACCCAGTTGCTTTTTTGGTGGTAAATTTGTGTATTGAGTTGACATTTTTGACACCTCCCAGCCAAAAAGACAACCAGGTGTACCAGGTTTTTGCCAACTGGGTTTGCTTTGAGACCAGCTATTGATTGGGTCTTTAGATATAGTGACTTGAAGATTTCTAGAAATGCTCAAATCACATCAAATTTAATCAAGTACCTCATGACCTCACTAGTCTATTTCACCACAGAATCATGTCTCATAGCAATTCTTTCAAGGATTCATCTCATTGGGTGTTCATGTTAATATTGAGAGACTTGACCATCTGAGACATCAGTAGGTTGCACGTCAGTCTACTAGCATAATGTTACATGTCTTTCCCAAAGTAAGTAATTTATCTGTGGTTTGGTCTATCAATCACAAACCAATGATTAAGTTGAAAATTTCTCACTTCCTTTTATATCATCTGATCTGCATAATTTACAAGAAGATATCACAATGGGAATATCCCAATCAGAGCCTGGCAAACCAATGCCTCAACATAGCAAGATGTCCAGATAGGAATACCCAGGTTAACTTTGTGGAGAAGGATGTGTCAGCCGCCGAAGAGCCCGCGCCAGGACGAAATTTAATTGCTTTACCACCACCTCCACTTTTCAAGATCCTTCTATCAGCCAATTGAATTGTTGTGTATTGTTCAGATTCTACGTCGAGGTGTTGGTCATGCATAGAAGGTTCCCAGGCTACTTACTCTTTGTTGTTTGCTGCTAAAGGAGATCCCAATTCCCACTTAGGAGGCGGTAGATGTGCAAGTCTTTGTCCTTCGGCAAGTCTGTCCTGCATCTCTGTAAAAGACCCTGACCAAGCCACTACACTAGAAGTATCACCCAGAGTGCCATGAAGGATGGTTTTAATATCTCCGCTTGGTCCTGGTACTCTCATAATTGCAGCTGAGGTTTGAGAGATGATTCCTAAGAGAAGTCCAGAAAGTAGAGCAGACGACCTCATGTTTCTTTTGTGACTTGGATATTGAGACCTCAGAGCTCTTGAAAGTGATGAAGGGAAACAGTAAGGATGTGTAAATGGACATTGTATGTCAGGTTTGTGTAAGGATCACACAAGACAAAAAACTGATTGAAGAAAATTAACTGACTGTTTAATTGATAGTTGTCTTTGAACTGGAGGGAGACAGAAGCGTAGGTCTATATGAAATGAATGAGGTTCAACCACATATAAAATCGGTTTGAAGAATGACTAGAGATCAAGCCTTTTATGACTATTACACCTGACTAGCTTTATGATAGCTTGATGAATAAATGCAACTTCAAAACACACTTTGAGAAGGCAATGACTTGAATAACAACTGGTAGCTTTGCAAGGTTCAGATATCAAGGTGGCAATGCTGAAGAATTGATCAAGGGACTAGTGAAGGATCAAAGGGTGTCCCTGCTATTTGAAAGACAAAATGACAACAGGAAAAGTCCATTTAGCCACAACTTTTCACCTTATGCTTGATCAAACACGTCAGGATGGCAATGTGTGTACTAAAGTTTCCAAATGATGCTTCAGAACTTGATTCAGAAAATTGAGATAAATTTGGAACATGGAAGGGAGCAAAGCTAGCTCAACGCAAGGCCCTCTCGCTGGTGTCCCCGCAGCTCGTGGGGCTTTTGTGAAGCTAAAGAGCAAAAAAGTGGACATTCAATAGATATTGTTTTCACTTTGAGTCCAGGGATAATATTAAAACAGAGCACCGTCACAAGTGACATGTTGAAGTTTTTGTATGCATGCCATCACAAGCGCAGGACACGACACAAAATGATAAGTCTATGTATACAAGTGTTGGGTAAAGAATTTGAAACATAGCAATTTGAATTTCAATGGTGAGCAGAATGACAATTGAGTAGATATGTTTCACGTTCTCTTGGATGCATAACTAAGAAGATAGATATCTCGTCCAGTAAACACGCAAAAGTTCCACCTCATGATTTTTGAGAGGACTCAGGAGGCATTTGTTGATGGAGGTTGTAGCTGCTATGTAGACAAGATGTGCTAAATGATTGACAGCCAAATTTGGGGGCAAGGTTCAAGGAGCAGGTCTCAGAGCGTTGATAGGAGAATAGTCAGTCAATTGTCTCAAGACAAAGGCAGGCAAAGTGGATTGCTTCATTGGTGATAAGACCAAGCTGCTCACAGATCTGACTTGTTCCTGCGCTAGAATAAAGACTTCAGATGTGTCCAAGTTGACATCGCCGCTCTCCTCCTAAGGAGGGTTTTCAACACAAATATCCAAACAGCTTTGATTTAGCAATCATTGTCATCTTCACATCACAACCAAGTATTCAATCTGCTCCTCTGCCAGTGACATATGGTGTGTCTCTTTGGCGTGTCATTCTGGATTGCCCGACCAATTCCCGGAACAAGTTAAGCGCAAGATATCACCTTGTGTCAACGACATGTCTAGGAAGTGGCTGAACAACTCTCGTATGTTTAGATGTGATATTAAGCTTAACTGAGCCGTCCTTCCTCCGCACAGCTGCATCCATTGAGCTTAATGAGATGTAGAGCCTTGTAGATTTGCAAAATCAAAGCTATCCAGACAATCAATTCAAGAACCCGTTCACTTGTAAAAATACAAACACTTTAAATTGGGCCAGTTTAAAGTCCTATTTGGGTGATTGGAGCTGATAACTTGAAGCCATTTCATGAGATTCATCATAGGGTCAGCAAATTTTACGCTCAGGACTTTACAGTGTTTGCTCACATAAAAGTTGAAGTGCGCAAATTGAAGGGTGCAAAACTTTACAGCTAAGAAACATTTTTGATTGATTGTTGACCAAAAAGGGACTTGAAATTGTAACCCGCACGTATCAAAGTGAGATTAGCACTGTAATTATTTGAGGTTTAGCCCATCAAAAGCCAATGAGTTGAAAGCTTAAGGTTGCTTGCTATCATTTCTCATACTGCAAATATCATTAATGATTGATCTGCATCTTTTACAGGAACATATCACAATTTGAATATGTCCCTTTCAACATGTACCCCAATTCCCAATCAATATCTGGCAAGATTGAACAAATGCCTCAAAAGAGCAAGATTCCCAGCAAGGGATATCCAAGTCCACATTGCCGAGAAGGTCGCATTCAACACCGCATTGCCACTCTTATGCTTACCTTTTTTCTGACCCTGACCACGACCACCTCCTGAAGCTATCCCGCAAGTTATCCCACTTCCACTACCACAAACACCACCTCCTCCTCCACCCTTCAAGATTTGTGCATGAGCCGATGTCATCTTGTATTGTTCACATTCTACATTGAGATGATGATCATGCAGACCTGGAAATTTCCTTAAAGATTCTCCCAAACCCAGAAATGAATTTTCATATATTTCTGGTAGAGGAGGTTCTAATGGTGGCTGTAATGCAAGGTTTTGGCCTTCTTCCATTCTTTTGTGCATCTCAGTTAATGATCTTGGCCAATTAATTGGACTAGAATGGTGACCTGAAGCACCTTGAAAGGCACCTTTGAAATTTGCACCCGGTTTGGCTACTCTCATGATTGCTGCTGAGGTTTGTGAGATGATTCTGAAGAGAAATACAGAAAGTAAAGCAGGCAACTTCATTGTGTTCTTTGCTAATCAGGGGTTGAGGACTCAAAGTCCTTGAAGGAGATCAGGCGAAGGAGAAGATATGAGTACAAGAGATTGATTGTTGTTCCAATTTTGTGGAAATGATAAGAAATAAAGAAGATGAATTGTAGAAGATGAACTGACTACCAGAATGAGTAAACTTGTCTAGCCGGAAGAGAAACAGGCGTGGATGTTCAGAAACAGATGCCGGTTTCAACAATGTATAGTTTGTGCTTGAAGGTTTGATAGAGATAAAGCCTTGGATGACTTGAATCTCTTGAGTTTATTAGGCATGATTAGATTTATGATAGTGTGATGAGAAAAGTCAACTTTTGACATACACTTGAGCAAGAAACCTTGAAGAAAGATAAAAGATTATAAATGTCAAAGTTCCAAGTTTTTGATAAAGAGTCTAGTGGGGAAACAAGTGGTATGACTAGAATTATAGATGAAAGATATTGATAGCTTTATGCGCACAAAATTCAAATATCCAGATGCAAGTTTGGGGTCAAGAGACTGAGAAATTCACAGTGGTTTGCTTACTGCAATATCCAAAACCAGAAACCCATGAGTGGAAAGAATTTTGGTCCGCCCAAGCTTCTAGTCAAAACAGAAAGCACCTATCGTGTCTAACAGAGGATGTAGTGCATTTTACGTCGTGTGTCATGACTCTTAGTCTGCCGGATTAAAATATAATCAAAACATAAAGCGGGATTGGACGTTGGATTATAACTTTTGTCATCTACAGTCAACTCCCTCTCAGTGAATATCCCTGTAAGTGCATACTTGTCTATGTGCATAGGATTCTTTGCTGCCAAAATGGGATTTTCCAGCCAAAATGAGGTCTCTAAGTGCATATTTCTCTAAGTGCATGGAAAAATCACCCGCCAAGCTGTATGTAATTAGAGGGAGTTGACTGTATGTCCAATAAACCGTATCAGAGGTATGTGTCTTAGGATCATCTGACAATTCTTCCTCCAAGCTTGATATACAGGTTCCAGGCTAGGATTTAGAATCGGGAGCACAATGGACTTTTACTTGCATTTTTATCAATTGCATGATCAAGATTGACATTGTGGACCTACACAAAGCTTCATCTCTGAGCAGTGAGAGTAAAGCGTAGGATGAGGAACACAAAAGGTATAACAGTGGTGGACCACAAGGTTATTGGAATGAAAAGCTGCAAGTAGAGGATTTGGAATACAGCAACAATTTTGTTTTGGAGAGTGAACAGAGTGATTATGCTTTACCACAGTTCACCTGGTCATGCATATAAGATACAAGATTGGTAGCTAATCAAGTGAACACACCTTCATATTTGAGAGCAACCAGGGAGAATGAGGGGTAGGTGGCTTGTGTATAGTAAATAGTTCACATGCGGACACAAATTGGATTCGGAATCAGGACTCCAGGAGGGTCTATCTCAATTCTCGCTAGACCACTTGATCAGAAGTCATATAACCACTGGGCATTTATTTGAGGTTCAGTCTATCAATCAAAACTCACTGAGTCAATAGGCATTGGGCAAAATTTTCCCTTTTTTTATATTTTTTGACCGACCAGTGGTGCACCTCACAAAGCAAGTCAAAGATTGCAGAAGAGTATGAGTTTCACAGACGTTGAACAGAAACCTGTTGCTTTTCCGGGTTACCTTTTTGGGTTTGATTTTTATTTACCTCGGTCCAATGACTGCTGAAATCTCGTCTTCAAGCTTCCTGCTCTTCAACTCCAGCAGCTCATTACCAATCCAAAATTCTTGTTCATGAGTCATCTAGCATAAACAAAACAAGTAAAGTAGACTCACCACCAAATGATCAAGTGAATCAAAATTGCTAGCTTGTTGCAGATCATGATCATGATTCATTTCATTAAAATTCATGAGGTGATACAATGATTGATGGGGTATATTTTCCGGTGGCCAAAAACTTGATCAAGTCTTATAAAAGGTAAGAATCAGCCTGATATCAACCAGAGGAAAAAGAAAAACACACCTGAGGGCGAGGGAGGGACCAAACAGACCACCACAGGTTTGGCTCAGCACCTGCAATGTGTTTGGATCAACCGCCAGGGGCCGGATGATACAGCTGAGGTCAACCAAGCAATCATCAGATCACGGCTGATAGGGGATACCCGGGTAGATTCAGAATGGGGGACCCAGGGTATGGTATCTGTGAAATGTCTGAAAGACTTCTTTTGTGGCGTAATTGGGGCTTGTGGCTTTTACAGATTAAGCAAGGATGCTCTACACCACATAAAATTTTAGAAAATTTTTGCAAAGCAAAACAAGAAATGGTGTTTTTGCTGTGCTTTTGGTGGCTTTGATATTATGTCAGCAATGGCTACTCAGGAGTCCGAGAAATCTGAATTACATTTGAATGGGTCTTGGCAACCAATTTTTTTTTAAAAAAAACCTTGCCCAATGCCTAATAGCTTCAAGTTGCTTGATATCCTCAATCATATACGTATTGATCTGCATATTTTACAAGAACATATCACAATCATAATTCCTTGATTCCCAATCAAAATCTCGCATGATCAAATAAACGCCTCAAATAAGCAAGATTTCCAGCGAGTAATACCCAGGTCAATTTTGTGGAGAAGGTGGCATCTGCCGCCCCACTGCCACTGCCACCACCACAAGCGGTAGACGTGACTGTGCCAGCAGCATCTGATTTGTCATTAGGTCTCCCACTTGCAACTTCATGACCACCACTACCACCACCACCTTCACCACCACCGTGTCCACCACCACCACCAGCACCCTTCAAGATTCGTGCACGAGCCAATCGCATCATCTTGTATTGTTCAGATTCTACATCGAGGTGTTGAACAAGTTCTGATTTAGAAGGTCCCAAAGAGTCTTTTGGTCCAAAAAAAGATTCTTCATCTTTTGCTGATAGAGGAGACTCCAACATCTTTGGAGGTGGTTGTAACGCAAGTCTTTCGCCTTCTTCCATTCTTGCTTGCATCTCTAGTGAAGAACTTGACCAAGTTACTGGGGTAGCAGAATCGCCTAGAGCACCATGAAAGACAACTTTTAGACCTGCGCTAGGTTCAGCTAATCTGGTTATTGCTGCCGAGTTTTGAGAGATGAGTCCAAATAGAAATCCTGAAACTAAAGTGAATGACTTCATTTTTCTTCCGTGAATTAGTCTATGAAGGCCCTCAGATTTCTTAAAATGTCCAAAGCGAAGCAGAAGAAGTGAGTAAATGAAAATGCAGCGATTGCAAAGAATGGACTGACTGTTCCAGAATTGATAATCTTCTTCAAAAGGAAAAGATAGAGAAGTGGAGGTATTTGTGTCACGAATATCAAGTTCAACAAAGTATGGGATTTACCGGAAGGATGAATAGAAATAAAGCCTTGTACGACTGAGCTGTTTTGAGGTCATCAAAGACAAAACTTGATAAGGAAATCACTCGAATAACCGGTTCAAATCCAAAGGCGGCAAGATTAACTTGTTGCCTAACTCCACACTGCATTCATTCAAGGCTACTTTTCTCCCCACTATGTGCTCAATCAAACGTGTCAGGATGGAAGTGGAATCCGGATTGGCACAGAAATTTGAATGCACGAAGCATCATGTCCTATTTTAGGCTTGCCGGCCAAAAAGGCTTAGGTTCAAACTCATCAGAGTCCCATGCTGTCGCTCGCGACCGAGCCCCAGCGAGATTAAAAACAATCTGAAGAGGTACAACAAGAAAAATGTACATAAGCATATCGCTAGGGCGGATGGATTCATAAAAGCAAGAGAATAAGTGGTGATGATCGAATCGCATATTGACTCAGAGTCACGAAGACTGAAAACACCAGGGCGCTCGGTACTTTGATAAGTTTATATTTAATAGTGGCCCGCGAGTCCCGGTACTCGCATCCCGCGAGTTGACCCGACCATCTCACACAAGTTTCACTTGTTTGACCAATCCAATCTTTCTTCAGATCGACTTCACATTTCTCTTTTACCGCCATAAATCTCATATCTCTCAAAATGTTAAATAGTCCATTACAATGTCGATCAGTCTTACGAGTCATCAGTAGGTCTTCAAGTCACAAGGCTTCCAGTCATTTCATATCACCTCGGTCAACCTATGCCTTGAAATCCAAATTTTCGCCACACCACTCATGTAGTTTTCTTACCAGACCATTTAGTTCTTCAATTCTAAGTACGTATTACTGATCTCAAAGATTCTATGAAAAACAGGGGGTTGTTGAACTGATTAAGATATAATTTTTTTGATACATAGCATTAGCAAGTCCCACTTCTTCACCTCCATCATCACAAGATCCACTGGAAGATGAAAGTCAAAAATTAATAGACTCAGCTTCTTTACTCTTAGAAAAAGGTGATATAGAAGGAGCCAAAGACCTATATGAAAAGTGAGGAAATCTTTTTTTTTGATCATACCTCCTTTTTTTCTTAAAAAATTCATCAATCTAATTCTAAAATCAGTTTAAGTTGCCTATAATTTTCTTTTATAATTCTAGGAGTATTTCAATCAAACCAACTTCAACTTCTTATTATAATTTAGGTATCACTTTATATCAATTAAAAAAATTACCTGAAGCCATTAAAGTTTGGGAAACCTCATTAAATCTTAATCCATCATCTGATGTACATACCAATTTAGCATCTGCTTATATCTTATCAGAACCACCTCAACCTCAAAAAGCTCTTTATCATTTAAAACAAGCTGTTGAATTAGATCCTACAGATGGAGAAATCAGATTCAATTTGGCTGCTGTTAATGAAGCTAGTTGAGTATTATCAGCTCTACTATCAAATCCAGTGTAAGTTTAATATATATACTGATGTGTTTTGAAATTTAGATAATCATTTACAAGATGCTTTGGCTGAGTATCAACATGCTCGTCGATTGGGTATCAAAAGAGCAGATCAAAATATCAGGAATGTATGTCTAACTCTCAATCTCTCTCTCTGAAAGGTGATCACGAATGCCCATTTCTGATCTGTATATCTTCTGATCTGTATATGTTAGGTTGGTGCCAAACTACTTCGTAAGAGGTTACAAGAAGAGCAGAATGCAGAGAAGGGTAAAAATTAGGAATCGGATCGATCGTGTAGCTCTGGATTCAAGATACCTAAACCTTAGAGTTGACCATTTGATGGATAAAGAGAAGGCTAAATACTTTGCACTTCCAATATATCAGATCAGATTCTTTCTATGCTTGGTTCATTTGATACCGCACACATTTATAATCAATGAAATTTACATAGAGCTGTGTTGTATCATATCTATACCAAGTAGCAAGTATTGTCATTGTCATTCTTTGAGGATGAGATACTTCAGCTCTTGATGTGATATTTCTAATCTTGAGGGGAGTCCACGCTTAATAATCAAGGGTCAGAAGTTCAGGAACGCATGTTCTTTTCACCTCACATCACACATAACAAACTATTTTAAGCCAATTTAATTACATGTGTGAGACTATAAACCGCAAAACAAACCAACAAAAAACAAAGAAATATATAGAAGATCGGAGGGTGATAGCAGACAACAACAGAATAAGCAAAAGAGGAAGAGAGAGGAGAAGAGGATGTCAAAAATGATTTAATACAAGTGATGATTTTGTAGGACTAACACAAAGTGTTGTAGTAACTACCAATCAAAACATAGTGCCTTCGGGTGGCTGGGGTAGTTTTCGACCGGCCCGTAACATTTCCCTAATCAAAAACCAAACAAAATAAACGAGTTGAGTAAGATGAATCAAAGATCTTCGTACTAATTATCTAGTATGATGAGTCGGCATCTTACCTTCTGAGCTCTACAAGAACAGTCTCGAGTGTATAGTTTCGACGCCAATTCTCGAGTAATGGGAAATGTGAAGCTTCCACCTAAAAGTTCACAACTTGATCCATCAGAAAATCTTTAATTGGTTTTAATAAGACCGATAAATCTCTTGAGTTATCCTTACCTCTCCAGTTGTCGAATTCACACATGGCATATTGATCTTAGTAAGAAAATGAATAGTAGGTGGTTTATCAGGATAAAAATTACCACAAGTAATCTTTATATCATAAATTCTATTCTCATGTACACTCTAAAGAAAAAGTGAGATAGGAATCATGATTTGGTTAGTAAAGTGAAAGACCAAAAAAAAGAAAAGTCATCAACTCAAACTCAAAAATTAATCACTCACATGACTTGGACCAATGATCGTTCCATTCCATTTTGTCATAGTGATATCATCTCCATCTGCAAGTCCATAAGAACATGTACCATCTCCTAATCCTTTTTCACCTTTCTCTAACTAAAGAATATAAAAGTCTCAAGTTAGTGACAATCTTTTTGAAGACCAATCCAATCGAGCTGATTAACGTGAAAGAAAAAAGACTCAACTTCTTCTAGTAGTCTAAAATTTCGTGGAACTATACAACAATAGGTGATGTAAGGCAGATCATCAAAACCGATCGGAATTCCACAAATGGTCAGAATACGATACACAGATACTAAGTGTGAGTCATGAATTCTTACCTTGTGTTCCAGACATGATCAGTTCTATACTCTAGAAATCGCGCGTTAGTCAAAGGATGGAGGTTGATATCGAGAAATAGTCGATTGGAAATTTGATATTATCGTGTTGACCTTTGATCATTCACCATCAAGCTCCGAAGAAGGCGGAGTTCACATCATAACAACACCCGGCCCTGGTCCGAGTTAAAAAGGTCTGAGCTTCAAGTGAGCACGGGGCTTTTTTATTCCTCTCATCATGAAATTGATTCTTTATTGCTCAATTGTGAATCAACAAATAGTTTTTCCATCTTTCTCTTAAAGTAATAAATATCAGTCTGATTGTATTCATGCACCATACTACACTCAAGAGTCAAATCAGGGAAACTTCCCTTCAATACTAATACCATGATGAATCATAATATTCCACAACACAAGCTTCAGTTTAATTCAACCAGACCCAAACCTTTAAAGCAAACTCACAAAAATTCTCATCCCAATCTTTCGTCATCAAAAAACCTCCCAAAAAAATCCTGCAACCGAGGGTTAAACCAAGAATGAAAATTTCTTTGAAACCAAAAAGAAAATAGAATTCAAAACCAAAAAAAGTCCTTTAACAAAAATCAAAACAAATAAAACGAAAAACACTTTGATCTTTATTCTCACAACCTAAATACAAATTTGGAAATCTACAAAGATTCATAAAAAAAGGAAAAAAGAACCATTTAAACACAAATTACAAACCAACCAAACTAACACGCACATTTTTTTCTAAAAACGACTTTTCTCTATCTAAACAAACAACAACAACCACAACAACTGTAAATGCAAATGCAAAAAACGGAAAAAATATAAAGTCCAGCTCTTAATTCAAAGTCCACAAACCCAACTAACCAACCAGAAAAAAAAATCTCAAGAGTTTGATTTGATCTATATAAAAGAAACTCGATTAATTTTTGTTTGATTTAGAAATCGAAAGTTTTTTTTTGTAATTTGATTTTGACTTTAAACCTTCTTAATAGATTTCATGAATCTTCAATCCATGATTTTCTTTTTCGTTTAACTGATTTTTGATTAACATCTTTCTGATAATCTTCACAATCAGATCCCTCAAGTTCAACCGATCTAGAATCCTTCAAATCCAAAGAAGTATAATCTTTAAAGACTTCCGATCTACCAGATGATCTTCTCCTAGTTGATCTTCTTGGACCAGAACCTTTCTCATTATCTGGTTGTTGTGTACTACCTTGTGAAGAATCTATTCTTGACCAATCGATCTGGTTTGATAAGTTTTCCATTGAAGCAGAAGGGTTTAAACAACTTTCGATGGGTTGACTTGAAGGAGTTTCATTGATCGGTAATGATGAACGAGGTCGTTTTGAATTCCGAGGGGTCGATTCGAATTCTGCTTCACTTTCTTCACTCTCTTCACTATCAGATAAATTAGGTGGTTCTGGTCGTACTGAAGTGCTCGGTTCATGATCTGGTTCGTCTTCCAAATCTTCAATCGAACTTGAGTCAATCATTCGACCTTTACCCTTCACATCATGATCACTTTGTTTAGCAAACGTGACTGAGCGACGTCGTTTAAGATCTCGTGGAGTGAGTTCATCTTTCTCCTTCTGGTGTGCTCGTTTCAAGTTAGATGAGGTTGAAGTTCTCTTGAGACATGAAGGACCCGGTTGAGGAGCAGGATTAGGTGTGGCAGATATGGTTGTATCCAGAACAATTGATGGTCTTGAAGTATCAATAATCGGTGTATCTTCAAGATCATTTAATTCTTCAATGATATATTCATCTGTTTCCGGTGACTCAGTTGATTCGAGTTCAGGTGGAAACTCAATAGTATATTCAGGTATCGAATTAAGTTTTAACAAAACCGATTTCAAAGCTGGATTGAATTTACTCATCATTTCTACTGCAAGACTTGAAGGATGATTTTCCATAAACTTTTCAACTATCTCTGGTATCACTCCATTCCGTAAATCTTTCAAAACGCTTTCTTGAGCTTTAGAATAAGTTTCATTAAAGAAATCAGATGAATCTCCTTGTTTGGCTTCATTGAATCGGTCTGCTAAATCAGGTGATTCGGTGATTGGAAAATGAGCGTGTTCAAGGATTTCAGGTTCGTCAGATTGGATTGGAGAATAAATCGGTCGTCGAAGACAATGTGGATACCTAAAATTGTGAAGTGGAAGATGTATGTATAAGATTCAAGAGTTTTAGATGTTAAGAATTGATTGGATTCAGTCATACCTTTCGCAAGGGTTTGGATATGAATACTTGGTTTCGGCCATATTTGAACCTGCAAGACATCCTACCCATTGATAGGTAACATTGATTTGAAGCACTGCACTGTTCATTCCTCGAGGTTTGCCAACAAAGACTAGGATTCGATCGTTATCAGCTAGCTAGAGATTTCAAATCAAATGATCAGTTCAGAATCCAATGAACCATGATCTTTCAAATCTCTAAAAACTTACTTCTACTGTATCTCCTTCATAGACAGGAATCCTTGGGGTCGGTTTAGCCGTCTTATAACTCGTTTCACCCGGTAATTGAGGCCAAATCAAGATCCCAATCGATTCATCTGAACATAATTTCTTAAACAAGATTCGTTTTCTAGGTCCCCAAATCCCAGTTTCAATCCAAATCCAACCTAATTCAACTTTAGGTAATTTGATTCCACCCAATTGACTTTGTAAATTATCAAATTGTACAAAATCACCCGATTGACCTAATTTCATTTTGTGACCTAAACTCAAGGGCCAGTATCCTGCATTCGTCTTGGCTCGTTTTCCATCAAAACATATGGTTTTCATTTCTCCAAAGGTTGTTGGTTTAGAAGTTAATCCGGTTTGATGATGATTAATATTATTAGTATCGGCATGAGGATGATCAAGTCGAGGTGGATGAGTAGTGACTAATCGTAAACCGATGGGATATTGAATGTTTTGAACTTCAAGTTTGCTTCTAGATCCTTTAAAGATCTTTAACCAACGTAATTCCGATTCAGGAACCCAAAGTTGATGACCTTTTGCATATCGTTCGATTCGATTCTTCTTCGGATCACGAAAGATACCATGAATATCTCGTATAGCAGATGCACGTAAAGCCCAAGTAAACGAATAATGATTCATCACCGAATCACAATCTGGATCAAAACTATCTAAATCATGTATCTTATGTGGTAAAAGATCAGATCTAAATAAAATCTTTCGTACTCTTCTGGGTAAATCGTTGAAAGTTTTTAATGTGATCTTTTTTGATGGTTCTGATAATGCTGGAATATGCCATCCCATAAAACATGATAACCATTGCCAAGCTGAATTAGCAGTAAGATTATCAAAGTCTGGAATTTCTGGAAGTTTGACGGTAGAGCTAGATTGAGACATGATGATCTATGAGAGTTAAGTGTGAGTATGTAGGGTCGAAATGAGTTAGTCAAGATGATGATGATCAAGTCGTTGGTTCTGATTCTGAATTCAATGAGAGTGTTTTTGATGAAGGTATAGTTTGAGGATATCAAGTTGAAGAGTGTAATTTCCAAAAGAAAGATATCGAAAGTGAGCAAGTCTCGAGGGAAAGTTGACGAATAAATCAAATCAAATCAAATCTTGAGCTTGAGCTTGAGCTTGAGCTTGAGCTTGAGCTTGAGCTTGAGCTTGAGCTTGAGCTTGAGCTTGAGCTTGAGCTTGAGCTTGAGTAGGTAAACTGATGAAGAACTCAATTTACTTCATCGTTTTGAACCTCAGCATACACATTCTTCTGATTACAATCTTTCTTTCTTGAAATCCTTAAGCACTTCATCACATCATCAGCAATAAGAACAAAATATAAACTGAACCAATACACACAGATCGAACAACTCATCCAAGTGGAGTGGTGTGATTTAGGATATGTATCGACTTAAGCCCACACATAACCAATTTCAATCTTCATGTCATCAGCTTTGGATATCTGATTAGATATCTTCCTAATTCATCCATAAGGCTTTGAAAATTGAGCAACACATCTAACTTCACAAAGGGATCTTGATTCTCTGGTCGATCGAACCTCATAAGCTTAAACTGATTAGCTGTTTTCCATCGCTTAAGCAAAATTCTCAGTCAAGTTGTCAACTCAATGCAAGCTATCTACAATTGCACCGGTGAAAAATTGATGATACAAGAGCTCAACGATTTGAGCCGGATTACGTATAGACCTAAGGCAAATCCTATAGGAATTCCATGGGATCAAGTATGTACAATCTTCCTTCCAACTTTCTTTTTTATAAAATTGTGTTTTCGAGCGTCTTTCTTACTTTTTGGATCGCGACTCTATATGTTAGGAGTCTGTTGTGTTCATAAGAATCGCTGCATACCTGCGGCGGTACATTCGAACTTTTAAAGAGTTGTTCTCTGTTTTTCTCTTTTCCATTTGCTTGCGATTTGATTCTTGAAGATGGAATTGTAGGATACAATCATTTCAAGCTATTTCGCTTTACCAATTTTGGCTTGCATAATAAATCAAGATGAAATCCATTCATTTGATTATGAACTCCTTGGAAGGTCTGACCAGTTTCCACCCATCCTCACCCATCCATTCCAACTTGTTACACATGTCTTGTATCCTTCAGCTTTTTTCTTTCGGCAGCCTTGAACTCTTGTCTTTTTTAAGTATGTTTCATCGATCTTTAAATTATTTATAGTTTTTAGTTCTCAATGATTTGTTCTGATGTGAATTTCTGTTTTATCCATCCGTATTGTATAGAAGTGATAGATTTTATCAATCACATAAGTACTGATGCAAGTTCAACCGTTCAACTCTTTGTTTTTGAAACTTTCATTAGCTTTCCTTTCTCTGCCGAAGTCGAGAGGAGCTTGAGTCAACGACAGCCTGAGACCAGTTTACCTGTCTGACGTCAACCGGGAGTTACTCATGATTGAGTTGCGATCAAAACTCCCCGAGTTGGGTATGGCTAGACTAATGATAAGACGACTGTGGAACCTTGTCGCGCTGCAGAGTCCAGACAAGGGCTCGCTGGATAAAAATAGATAAAAATACAACCAGGTGTACGTGACACTCTGTCACTTGTACTGCTCTGTACGAGGTTTTCCGATTCGGGCGCGGTGGTCATGCTCTTGGAGGGACTTGGTGCTTGACTTCGAATCGCTCTTCTTCCCATCGCAAAACAAAATACTACAAATAGTCATCCCAATCTTAGCTCACGGAGTCATATACTTTTAGAAAGTTCGATAGCTCACTCGAAATTTAAAAATCTTTAAACTCACAACCTGCAAGCTTTTAAAGATGAATTTAGCCATCCACTTTGGTATCGTATTGATCGGTTTGGCAGGTAAGGAAGGATAGGTTAGAGATCAAGATTTTTAGCGTTTGTCTGATTTTCGATCCTCGTGCTACTTCTTTGATAGCCATCACTTCAAGTTTTCCGCTCCCAATGTAAGCTTGACTCTTTGAGGGCTTTTCTGCTTCAGTAGAGATCGCACTCATCACCCTTTTGTCAAAATTTGTGGATCAATAGTAAATCGCACACCGAAGTAAGAAACTTGAACTCACGAAGCTCAATCAGATTAAATCCTCGGTCAGTCAGTTCTTGAACTATGATATAATTTCTCAAAGGCTCATCTGTTTTTTCTTTATCAGTACTCTCACTCGAACTTCCGTAATTTCCAAGCGCAGGTCAGTCATCCAATTCTTTATTCAATTAATGGCTTCTTAATGATCTGAAAGCTAATCGAGCATCATTTTAGTCTATGGGATTATTACCAGCAGATGTCCTCCTCTGCATATGGTTATACAAAAAATGGCAGTCAACGTCAGAAAGAACGTAGAAGAGATCTCGCTTGATAGACAGTTGATGCGACGAGATCATTTCTGTCCTTGGTTTCTACTATTATACTTATGTTGTGGAACTGAACTTTTTCCAAATCAAGAAGAAACCTCAGTAATTCTCTCAACGACCAGTCTCTCAATGTCATGGTTTTTCAAATTTTGTTCTTGTATTGTTTTTCACCCCCATCACGATTTTCATCTACATGTCATTGTATGCCACGATTTTACCATATCCTTGCTTTCCGCTTCTTGCCTAGCAATTCACGATATCGTTTGTTCATCTTAAATGTGTCACGTCGGCAAATGAAAAGATTCATCATGTCAATGAGCTCAACTTGTTCCATTTGACGTTCTTGTATTCTCTAGATTTATCTTTGCCATTTTGATTTATTTTTCTGTTTTACAAACACACAAGCTTGAGTTTAAGCTTGACAGTTGATAAGATATCTTTTGACTTCAATTTACACTACGTTTCATCAGTTTTAGGCATCTCAGGCTGTAAACCCAGATCTAATGATCATTCGACAATATATTTACACCTCGCTTATACAATAGCTTCAAGTGTTTCCAAAATCTTTTCCAATCAATCTTTATCTATCTAAATTTAATCTCTAACTTGATTTTGATCAAAAAGGGATTTTGTGAATGATTTGGTACGCTATCACCCCCATGTGATCACACCTTGTGAAAAGTGTGTTTTGCAACTTCAAGTTCAACAGGTAAAATTACACTTCAAGCTAGAATTGAGGATGTTTCATATACACAAGCCATCAACCATCATTCATACAACATATACAAAAAAGACACAACATGTAAAGGACAACAGCAATAAAGAAAAAAAATGGTCTGGTTCCATAAGGATTACCAGTTGGGCATGGTGCATATGAAAGAGCATTCTAAAATAAAAAAGATTGTTAATTAGGATGGTTTAAGAGTTGAAGGTACTGATACCGACTATTTATAATCTTTCTTGTCATTGTTGTATTGGTGGAAGAAACTTTTTTTTTGAAAATTGCTCATTGGCATATTTGCATACAACACTATCTGAACAATACAGAGTAGTTGGACTAGTATGCCTTAGAAGATCAGTTGCTAATTAAGGCTGAATCCGACTACCTCTTGGAACCGGGGCCGGCCCGGCTCCCATTTTTTAATTTCTTAATTTTTATCTTAGCTTCTCCAAATCTTCAAGAACCCACCAAAGTATAACAGGATTCAATTCAGGAAAGCTTCCAGTCAGCCCGAGCCCCGATCGCTACCCGTCGAGTAGTGGCTCGCCCGGCCCCCGAACCGACGGGTAGAGAGACCTCCCAAGCCCGTTCGGGGGTCCCCGAACGAGTTTTTTTTGAAAAATTGTCTGCCCGAACCCCGACCGGGTTCCCCGCCGGGGACTCGTTGGCTGGACCAAAAAGGGTCCCTCACCCAGGTTTGAACACCGGACCGGGTCATTTATCGATATTCATGCCAAATAGGTCGAAAAAAAGTGTCCACTTGATGTTTAACACCCCGGGCAAGGCGGCGACGCTCCATATGTAGCGTCATGCGGACGCTTCGGACCGGGGCCGCGCTTCACATGGAGCGTCAACAGGTGCCGCACGCCAACTGTCTGAAGCGTCACCGTGCTGCACACCAACCGTTGGTTACCGATAGCATCATCAGTCGCTGCTTGCCTTTCAAGTTTTATTATTCTTTCATCTCATCGCTCTCTTGTACACATCTTCACCTTTGTGCTGTCATTTCTCACCATCCCTTTCAGTTGTATTGAGGATCTTGGCCTTATGAAGTCGAGAATGAAAGACTCACAGCACCTGCTTCATGAGATATAGCATATCTTAAAACAAATGCACAGTCTTTATAAACTGCCTTTAGAGGCACTGGACCTGATCTAGAATTAAAGAAAAACCACGATCTGATTTAGATCGATTTGTTCCTTCACAAGAAGAAAGAACAACAATAGCAAAAACAAATGAACGAAAGGATTTAGTTTGTGTTGTACAAAAGAGATGGTGAAGTAAAGACACTAACAAGGTTAAAGACACTTGGAGGATCAGACATATGTGAGTATTGGGGATCAGTATCTCAAATGATTTGAAACCCAATTGCTTTGGACCTTCCAAATCGATATGAATGATATCAGCATTCAAGCTTTGTCAAGGTCCATCGATCCAGAGATCAAAGCACGGAAGAGAGGCACAACGGGTTTAGTCAGCTACACTGATTTCTCGAATCCGAAATCAGATTGGTAATTGTAAGCTTGGAAAAGAAAAGCACTTTCAGATGGTAAACAGCGGTTTTGCTTTGGTAAGGACAATGAAAAGAAAACCCACAAATGAGTTCAAACGATTTCATCTGAATCATTCTTGTCTGTAGATGCAAGATTTGTAAGAAGAGGTCCAGCTCTAAAACATATCACAACCTCACATGTGATAGTTTCTTTCAATAAACGATTTGATGATACAATACCAAGAACGGTCATCTCTTTTGGATGATTGGTTCTTTTCAAGGTTTCTGTATCCTCAAATCTTTCAAAGCGTTCTTTATAGTATCTCTAGACGTTCATGTTTTTACCCTCAATGACCAACTTTGTCAAAGATTGAATGTGTGCATGTTCTTTAGAGCTCAAGAGGCAAACCTTTGGACCCAATGAGTGTAGGAACTTGGTGCAAGTTTGTACAATCATCAACATGTTCCATAAGTTTTATAAAATTCTAACCAACATTTTATCATGAACACTCCCTTTCAGAAACCTTCCTTCTGGAACTGAATTCACTATGACT